TCCTGTTCATAAACATGACTCACTGTAACTGAGGTTACCAGCAGAAATTCACCATGTCCAGTTAAATGTGCATTTTGAAACAGAGCGCATGATGGTACACGCCTGTAATCCTAGCACTCAGGAGGCAGAGACAGGAGGATCTAGAGTTAGAGGCCAGCCTGGCCTCCATAGCAATTTCAAGGCCAGTATGTACTAAACAGTAATCCCCCATCTCAAAAAAATAACAAATTTTTTTGCTAAAAGTATATTTCAAATGTTACATGGAGTATACTTAGGTTAAAAAAATGTTCATTGGGGTGGGAGCATGGCTCAAGTGGTAAAGCACTTGCCTAAGCAAGATCGAGGTACTGAATTCAAACCTCAGTATGGAAAAAAAAAATCATTGTTTATCTAACATGCAAATTTAACCCTTTTTGTAATTTGGTAAATGTGATACTCCACATCCATCCTCAAATTAGAACCTCACATTTAAGAATCAAAAGTCAGCAAGAGACATTATGGAATCAGCCTAGGTATCCATCAAAAAGAGATGAATGGATAAGGAAAATGTGGGGGGGGGTGTACACACAAAATGGAATTTTTCGCATGGGGCTGAAGGTGTGGCTCAAGTGATAGAGCATCTGCTGCCTTGCAATTGCTAAGCCCTGAGTTTAAACCCTAGTCCTACCTCTCCAAAAAATGGAGTTTTAATCAGCCATAAAAAAAAAAAAAGATGAAATGATGTTGTTCGCAGAGAAATGGATGGAGCTGGATCTCATCACGCTAAGTGAAACAAGCCAGTCCCACAAAGATAAGCGTCATGTTTTCTCTCATACGTGAAATCTAGGGGAAAAAAGAAGAAAAAGGGGGATGTGGAAAGGAGGGAGGGGATAAGAAAGAGTAATAGAGGGGATGAATATGATCAAAGTATGATATACACATGTATAGAAATGTCATAATGAAACCCCTTTGTGCAATTAATTTTTTTAAAATTTAAAGATTTTTTTTAAGTAGGGGACAGGAGTAAAACACATACTTAGCATGTGGGAGGCCCCGGGGTCAACAAAGGTGACTCCACACATGCAGACAGTTCTAAGAGTGCTGGCAAAGACACCAAGTGGGAGGGTTTCCATGGGTAATGTACACAGAGGAACAAACAGGAGGAGAAGCAAAACTTGAACAACCCTCTGGAATAAGTGAGGCACATAACGTTAGTTAATAGTAAAGAAAATGTGAGTGTTACTAGACCTCCATCTTACAAGGAAAAGAATGGGCCAAGCCCTCGGAGTACTGCACGATGGCACAGCAGGCCAAACAAGCTGGACGCTCCTGCTCCACACACCTCACCCTATGGACAGAAAGTCATTACAAGCCCTTTATCTCTGCCTCCAACTCAGAGCTAATGTCTGCTCCCAGCGTAATCAGCTTAAGGGAAACAAGATCATAAACTCGAATTTCCTGACCAAGAGGCAAATGAGAAATATGGTCCGAGCAAATCTGCATGAGGCATAAAAGTGAGAGATATGAAGGGGAAAATTACTCCTGTCAAGAGCCAATCTTATTTTAACAATTGCAAAGAAATTTTGCTGTGCAGGAGCTCACACTTTAAACCTGAAAGCCTATTTTGTTCTTCAGGAGATAGTAAACCTATCACAATTTATCAGGAAAAAGATATAAATGTATGTAAGCCTATTTGTGTCAAAATAATTCTTTTGAATTTTCTAGCGAAGCTATAGCAAGGTCGTATTTTAAGTTTAAAAAATAAAGGAAGGTGGACCAATTTTAAAAATAAAGAAAATAAGCTATTATCCTTTCTAAGCCAAATTAATTCAATTCTCAGTGAGAGGTCCCATAATTTCTCATTCAGCAGGAAACCCCATTCAACTGTGGCCAGTCAGCAGTAGTAGGAAAAAGTGGTCTATAACAAGATAAACTTGCTGAGAAAAATTAAATATATGGGTTAGATTTTTCCAATGATGACAACATATCCAGGTTTATCCATTAACTTAATTGCCTGTTCAGCAAGAGTCTATTGAATGCTCATTTTTTTCTAAGACACAGTCAGATTTTGTCTCTAGGATGTTACACTCTAGTCATGGAAATAAGGCTAACGAACACAGAAACAGTTGACAACCTAAGGTAGTTACGTAATAAAATGCCAAGAGTTGGCAATTCCTGTTAGAAACCACAGAAAGATTAATTCAGTGTGATGTAAAATATTCATCAAGAAATGAATTTCAAGTTTTTGGAATTTCCAAGAAATTTCATTCTTCCCCTAGACCAGCACAAGAGGCAAAATGCAGGAGAGAGGCACTGAAATCCCCTGCCTTGTCTTCCCAGGCTACAGAGCAAGTGCTGCCCTGTGCCACCATAGAAAGGACCAAAAGTCCTCACCTTTCTATTTATTTCACTTTTCTCTTTCCAAAGCGGAAAAGGCCTTTATCCTAATGGAAGCAGGAGGGCAGAAGAGGAGAGACTTAGAAGATGGTGTGTCTATGGACATTGTTTCTTTTAGGAAAAACGGAAAGGAATAGTGGGAAAGAGACAGAGTAAGTCCTATCACTCAGTCTTCCATCCCTTCTTCTTCATTTGACACACATTTTTAGTGCTTGATGTATGTCAGAAACCATTCTATGTGTATAGACATCATAGAGAACAAGACAAATTACTGGCCCTTGTGAGTCTTATATTCTGTCAGTGGGAGACAAATGCTTTGTGTGCACATCTGTGTTTATGATGACAGTTAGTGTTATAAATACCCTAAAGAAAAAAGGCTAAGTAAGGAGACAGAAAATTAGGGACGGGGTGAAGGATGCTACATCAAGATGGGGAGGTCAAAGAAGGCCTCTCTAAAAATGTTGGACCTGAAAGAAATGAGTGAGAAAGCTATGAACACATAGGAAGAAAAGAGCAACCCGGGCAGAAGAAACAGCAATTGCAATGACCCTAAGGTGTGGCTGGAGCAGAGCAAGCAAAGTAAAGAGTGATAGAAGTTAAAGCCATACACCATGGAAGGGTTCTACAGGCCACAATGAAGACTTTGTTTTTCATTCTGGGACAAAAGGAGAGTTTTGAGCAGAGTGAGTGACAGAATGCACGCTGGCTGCTGTGTTGAGAATAGACTGCAGAGAGTAGAAGCAGGGAAGTTCCTTAGGAGACTTTGGCAGTGAGCCAGATAACAGATGACAGGAACTTAGTGGAAGCAGCACAAATAGTGAGCAACAGTCATTATCTTAGGTATAATCTCAAGGTAGAAATCAGTGACATTTGCTGAGGGATTTGACGAGGGGTGTAAGAAGAGTTTCAAGGTGATTCCAGGGTGCTTAGGCTGAGTGTCTACAAGAGTAAAGTTGCCATTTACTAAGAAGGGGAAGACTAAGGGAGAAAGCAGGTTTGAGGAAGAAAAATCAACACTTTGGTTCCTAGAGACTGTTGTCCACTTCAAAACTCTTATACCTGTCCTAAAACCAAGGTAACAAAAATTAAGATGATTCTTAAATTTCATATGACAACTCAAGGGACTCAAAGCAGCTACAAACAATCTTGAAAACAAAAGCAAAGTTGGAGGACCACATGTCCTGATTTCAAAACTTACTACATAACTCCAGTAATCAAAACAGTATGGTACCAGCATAAGGATAGATGTATAGATCAGTGGAATAGAAGTAGGAATCCACAAATAACATCCCCCACCCACACACCCACACACACTTATGACCAGTTGATTTTCAGCAGAGGTGCCAAGATCATTCAAAGGGGAAAAAGAGTCTTCTCAACAAATGGTGCTGGAAGAACTGGCTATACACGTTCGAAAGGATGAAGTTGAACGTCCCACCTCACAACATATACAAAACCTAACTTAAGTGCTCACTTCAGCAGCACATGTACAAAAACTAACTTATAATGAATGAAAGAACAAAATGGAAGAGCTAAAACTATAAAACTCTTGGGCATGGCCCAGAGGCATGGCTCAGATGGTAGTAACTGTGAGTTCAAACCTCAGATCTACAAAAAAAAAAAAAAAAAAAAAAAAAACTCTTAGGTATAAAAAGAAAACATAAGTGTAAGTTTTGATGACCTTGAATTTTATGTTCAATGCCAAACACAAGGAACAAAATAAGTTTTTCTAGCAAAACTAAAAATTAAGGCAGGCCCTAGAAAGGAAGGAAGGGAGAAAGGGGAGCAAGGAAAGAAACAGGAATGAAAACCAAGGTAAAATACAGAAAAGAACAACCCTCAAGACAAGTTCTTTCAACAGTATTTTAAGCTTTCTTCATTTCAAACAAACTAGAGAAGCCCCATTTTCCAGACTGTGTTTTCCCTCTAAACCAAGTGTTTAAAAGATAATTATAAAAAGCTGTGTGCCCTTACCCACCCAGTATCTAACTGATAACTAACCAACCATAAAGTGAGAGTTCATCCAAGAGGAAGGAACAGCTGTTAGCCTGTTGGGGTAAGGAAGAGGAGGTGTGGTAAAAGATTCTGAGGCCATATGGGCCAGGTGGCCAGCAGGAGCCAAAAGCTTGGGATGGCTGTCAAGAGGTCACAAGATTTCCTTTGCTTCAGACCTCACTTTGCAAATAGGTGACCTATGGGAACAGAGATGGGACTTTGGCAATAGTTGCTAAAAGCTGTCATCACATCAGCCCGGCCTCCAAGTCATAACCAGAAGGCTTGGCGTCCAAGTAGGACAGGAAAGGGGAGAAACCCTACCCCATGGCTAGCTTGCAGTTCAGACACTTACCAACAAGGGTGCAAACCCATTAAATAATTAAACTGGAAAAGAGGGGGAAGAAAAGAACTGGGGGGGGGGGTAGACGTTTCCAGGCCTTCCTCTCCTCCCCACAGTGAGCTTTTCTCCCCTCTTTATGGGGACCTCGCACCTGGATGCTCTCGGGAGGTGACCTTTGGGACCGCCCCGGCCCAGCATCTCGCCGCGCTGACCCCTGTCCCCGGCGGCAGCGGTCATCGCTGGGGTCTGTGCCCCCCTTTTCGGGTTGACCTGGACGCCCGCTGCTCACCGGCTGCCTTGTCAGCCCTGGGCGATGGACTGGAACCTGCGGGGCGGGCGCGGGGACGTCGCCTGCCCTCCTGCGGCGGCCGCTCGCCCTCACCTGGCTCGGCCGCTCTCCTGTCCCCGCCGGGTCCTGTCCCGCGCGCCTGCTGCACTCGCTGCTGGCCTTTTTTGGGTCCTTGGCGGGTATTTTTCCGTCTGGCCCCACATCACTTCCCGTGAAGGAGAGCGAGGTGGGGCGGGACCTCCTCTCTTCCCTCCACCTCCCGCCTCCTCCTGTCACCTCGTGCGTGGAGCACCCCAACCACAGACCGGCCCTGTCGCCTTATTCATCCCAAGACAAGTTTCCACCGCCCTATGGTGGAAGGCGTGAAATGATAGCTGGTTGTTTCGTTTTGAGACACGGGAGTGACACGAAACGCCCCGGGATCGGAGCACTACATGGTGTGGCTTGGTGACTCTCAAAGCCATTTATTTCCTAACGGTGTTTTTCCAGGGCGACAGATAGCCGTCTGCCCTGTAGCAGCCGGAGGTGCTGCGAGTCCCGGGCGGCCCGGGGTTCGGGGTTCCGCGATCCGGGGGGCGCCCGTCGGCTGCCGGGGTCTCACTGTCCCCCGAGCGCCCCGAAACCGCTCTGCGCCGCCCTCCGGGCCGCTGCTCACCCGGATCAGCCCCAGCATGGCCTTTCCAGGGCAAAGGGAAGGTGCAGGGATCTCGGAAATGACAAGGGGAGTTAAGTAAGGTAAAATCCTAGCAAGGAAAAGGAACGTGATTCTGGGAGGAAATGACACACGGAGTCGCTGCTCACACGGTCTAATTCGGACTACAGGAGCCTCAGAATTTCTAAGAGACTGCTAGAGAACATAAGGAAAAGGAGAGGGGGAAAGTCCAGCTGGTTAAAGAGCCGCGGTGGTCAGGGGAACCCTGCGGGCCTTTGCTGCCCCCCAGCGGCCTCCCTCGCTCCGCGCTGCGGTTCCGTGGACCTGCAGGACCACTGGACCCGGGCTGGGAAGTGCTCAGAGGCAGCCAGGTTCATCCAGCAGTGGGCTGTAGTTCTGAACAGTGGTCCCTAGGCCTGCCCTTTGGGCTCCAAGCCAAGCAAGATGTTTGGGAGATTTTGTCCCCCTTCTCACCATCTATGGCAGTTTCACCGGCCTGTGCCTGCCTCCACTGCTGTCCCTGGCTCACCTGGCCCATCCTTCCAGTCTGCAGCCAATCACACTTTGCATTAAAGTGCAGCGAGCTCCTCAAATGTGTCCAATTTACAAAATCGCAGAGAGGACGAACCACATGAAATTGCTGACACCAGTTTGAACAGACCATTGGGCAATTCCATAAATGCAATATAATACTTGCAGGTAAACATATGAGCTGGGCATGTGGTGCAGGCCTGTAATCCCAGCATTCAGGAGATGAGGCAGAAGCATAATGAGTTCAAGGGCAGCCTGGGCTACATACCAAGATCCTGTCTGGGAGAGAGAGGGAGCAGGGGGGAGGGGAGAAGAAAACAGACTTCATCATAGTATAATTTCACAGGTTCCCATCAGACTATCAGACTGTTGGTGAGGTTAAGAAAGGAGAGAGCCCATGCATAGAGGAACAGTCCTAAGAGTCACGGATCAACTAAAACCTGGGACACAGTCCATTTTTGTGTTGCTATAATAAAATACCTGAGAACTTTATAAAGGAACGAGGCTTACTTGGCTCATAATTGTTGTGGCTGAAAAAGACAAACAGCACAGTCTGGTGTCTTGTCCTCCCCCACATACACATCCCATGTCACATCATGACAGAAGCAGAAAGGAAAAAGACTGCTTGTAGAAGGAGCTTGTGTATGGGAAAGAAATCAAGAGAGTGAGGGCCAGGCTCATGACTTTATAACAACTTGCCCTTGTGGTAACCAATTCAGTTCCACAGACCTAACCGATTCCTACGAGATGAACTTATCCCCTCCCAGGTTGGTGCCACCATGACCTAATTGCCCTCCTTTAGGTGCCACCTCTTAAAGAGCTGTCTTTCAGTGGCTTTACACTGAGTGCCAGTGGGGACAAACTATACCAAACCATAGTCCAGAAAAATGCAGTAACTACTAATGGCCAGAGTGATACAGGGAAAGCCCCCCACTTCAGCCTTCTTCACTCATGCAGCCAGGCAGGGCTACGACCAGGAGTTTACCAGAGAGGAGCTCACAAGACAGGCAGTAATTCTACAGCCCATTCACACCTATACATTCATTCACTTATTCATTCAAAGAGTCAAGCCCTGTGCTAGGTACAGAAGATGCAGTTGTGAGCTAGGTAACTGGTCCTTGCCCTCAAGACTTACATGAAAGACCAACAAAAAAGTAGGAAACTTACTCACAGTGTGATGAGAGCCTTCATAAGGGAGTCAGTCATTGGCAGATCGGTGCAGTCACTGGTAGATGGGGAGGACATGCCTAGGTCCTAGTTACTCCAGAGTAACTAGGCAGGAAGATCACTTGAGACCAGCCTGCAGCATAGCCAGATCCTACTGCACACACACAGAAGTATCTTTGGAACACAGAAAATTGACACGGAATTAAAATTTCCCAAAGAAAGTAATGTATAAATTAAGACAAATGAATAAGGTGGGAGGTGAAGAAGAGAATTCTAGGAAGAGGGAGCAGAAGGAAGCATTGGAAGCAAAAGAGTATTGGAGCAACTGAAGGAAGTTCAGAAAAGCTGCAAGACAGAGTGGGAGGCAGCAGTCAGAGAAGAAACTGGAGAAATAAACACAGGCTGCATCATAAAGAATGATGATAATGATATCTAACGTGTGTGGATCATTTACTATGAGCCATCCCGCAAGCTAATAATTTTGTGTTCATCACCCCATTTATTTCTCACAACTGCCCTAGGAAATAGATTCTAACTATTCTTGTCTTGATACTACAGATGAGGAAACTGAGTCTTAAAGTGATAAAGCAATCTGACCAAGGTCAAGCTAATAAGTGGCATAGCTAGGACAGAATTTAGAACCCTGGCTTTTTAATGGCTATATGGCCAAGAATGGGTTTGAAAGGCCAGTCAGCATGCTAAAATCCAAGTGAGGTGTAATAGTAACATGGCTAAGGCATGGGCCATATGAATGAGATGGTAGAGTTTTGCAAGTGTGAAGCTCTGAGTTCAAATCCAGTCCTACCTCCCAAAATAAAATTCTAATGACATTCTTCACAGAACTATAAAATCAATCCTAAAATTCATGTGGAAGCACAAAAGACCCTGAATAACCAAAGCAATCCTGAGCAAAAATAATACTAACACTGACAATCATAATACCTGATTTCAAATTATTCTAGCGTCATAGTAACAAAAATAGCATGGTCATGGCACAAAAACAGACACGTGGGCGAACTGAATGAATAAAGGACCCAGAAATAAACACACACAGCTACAGCCATTGGATTCTCAATACAGGCACCAAAAACATATGTTGCAGAAAATATTCTTTAACAAATGGTGCTGGGAAAACTGGATACCACATGTAGAAGACTCAAACTAGATCTCTCCCTCTCACCCTGTACAAAATCAATTCATTATGAATCAAAGACATTAAGACCCCCAAATTTGAAATTACTGGAGGAAAGCACAGGGAAAACACTTCAATGACTTTAAGAATAGACTCTAATAGCTCAAGAAATAGAAAGAATTGACCAATGGGTCAATCAACAGTGAAGAAACATCATACAGAATGGGAGAAAAATCTTTGCCACCTATTCATCTGACAAGGGATTAATATCCAAAATATATAAAGAGCTCAAACAACCACCAAAAGAACAAGTAATGCAATCAATAAGTGAGCAAATGGATCAAACAGTTCTCAAAAGAAATATAAAGAGCCAGAAAGTATGCGAAAAATGTTCAGTATCTTTAGCCAGGGAAATGCAAGGGCAAAACTACATTGAGATTCTCTCTCACCCCAGCCAGAATGGCTGTCATCAAGAAAACAAAAACAACAAATGCGGGGGGCACGGAGGCACACTTTATACACTGTTGGCTTCAAGGTCAATTAGTGCAGTCACTATGGAAATCAGTATAGTGGTTTCTCAAAAAACTAAAAACAGAAATACCATATGACTAAATCCTGGGTATATACCTGAAGGATCAAAGTTAGCATACGATAGAAATACCTGCACACATGTAATCATTGCACTACTCACCATAACCAAGTATGGAATCAGCCTAGTTGCCCCCAATAACAGATGAATGCATAAAGAAAATGTGGTATGTTTATACCGTGGAGTATAATTCAATAATTAAAAAAAGAACAAAATTATGTTGCTTGTAGGAAAATGGATGGAACTGGAAATCATCATGTTAAGTGAAAGAAGCTAGACTCAGCCAGGAAGCTCAGGCCTGTTATCCTAGCTATTCAGGAGACAGAGATCAGGAGGCTAGAGATTCCAAGCTAGCCCGGCAAATAGTTCCTGAGACCCTATCTGGAAAACACCCAACACAAAAAAGGGCTAGCAAAATGGATTAAGTTGGTAGAGCACCTGCCTAGCAAGCAGGAAAACAGGAGCCTTGGAGTTCAAAAATAGCCAGACTCAGAAAGAGAAATACGACATTTTCTCTCATTTGTGGAATCTAGATTAAAAAAAAAAACATGAAAACAGAAGGGGACTATTTGGGAAGAGGAAGGAGATCAGTAAGAGAGGGGAGAAGGCGAAAAGAAAGGGTAGTGGGAGGTGAATTTGATCGAAGTACATTATACACAGGTATGAAAATGTCATCATGAGGTTTGGGCACAGCTCAAGTACAATTCCTGAGACCCTGAGTTCTAACCTTAGTACTGAGAAAAAAAGAAAATGTCATAATGAAAACCGTTATTTTATACAATATACACTAACAACAACAACAACAACAAAAAGTTGAGTCTAGAGAATTGCAATTTCAAGGCCAGCTCTGAACTGTCTGAACTAGTGAGATAATCCTATCTTAAAATAAAATGGGCTAGGGATGTAGGGCCTAGCTTGCACAAGGCCCTGGGTTTAATCCCAGGACTGCAAAAAAAGAAAAAAAGGCACAGGAGCCAACTTGAAAGGGTTCCCACTGGCCAGATGGGGAACAATTCAAACACCAAAGTAGTGCTTGTCTTCAAGTTGCTGGCTTTATGGGATTGAAATGAGTAGTCAGAGAGGGCTTTGAGCTTCAAATGTTAACATTGCAGCCAGTGTAGATAAACTTTTAATAATTTTCTCTTTGGATTTGTGTTTTGTAAGTGAAGTCGAATAGCATAATGGAACATGCTGATAGCTTGGGGTCTCTGGTGACACATGGGTCTGAGTCCTGCTGCTGCTGCTGGTCCCTGTCCAGCTTCACATAACGCTCATGTGAAGGTTGTATGACCGCCAGCCAGTCCATGACCTAGTCACCTTCCGCCATCATCTTCCACCCTGGTGCAGTGCAGGCGAGGATGATAGAAGATGCTCCTGAAATAGGGCTCCCTAGTATCTGTTAGAGATAAAAGAATTCCAGATGCTGGGCGCTGATGGTTCACACCTGAAATCCTAGCTACTCAGGAGGTAAGATCAGAAGGATCAAGGTTCGAAGACAGCCCAGGCAAATAGTTCTGCGAGACCTTATCTCAAAAAACCCTTCACAAAAGTAGGGCTGGTGGAGTGGCTCAAAGTGAAGGCCCTGAGTTCAAGCCTAAGTACCTCAAAAAAAAAATAATAATTCCAGAATGGTGAAGGACAGATAGCATAGCAGGTCATAACCTGTAAGCAAAGCATAATGGGAAGCAAATCTGAGGTACAACCAAGGTGTCTTGACGCAGAGACCTACTAGACCATGACACTCTGAAAGAAAAAACAAAAGGGCTGCTATTAGGGTTTGTTTTTGTTTTTGATAGGGAAAGGATGTGTCTCTTGACTTGTGCACATACACATACACATGGGGGGGGTTGGGACTGAGGTTTGAATTCAAGGCCTCATGTTTGCTAGGCAGGTGCTCTTCCATTTGAGGCACTCCACCAGCTTGTGTGGCTTAAAATATAAAGGAAATAAAAAAAACCTAAAGCACAGAAAGCTGATGTTAGTCTCCACAATGCAAATCATGGTCCCTCACCAGTTTCCTAATCTAAGTCACTTCACAGATGTAGAGCTCAATGATTAAAAAAGCCCTATCCAAGTTTGCTACAAGAGAACGTGAGGAAATTTTCTTCAATGCCACAAAGACATACAATAATTTCCTGCTACTTCCCCCAAGCGGTCCAAGGCCGTTAACCAGGATAAACGTACACAGGATAAAGAGGGTTGGATGCTGACTGGATTACAGGAATGGACACCACTAACAGCAGACTGGCAATGGCACGGTGGCCTGGAATGGGAGCTTATGGATGTGAAAGGATGAATGCAGGTTCTGCCCCAACCAATTTATCAGACTCATTCTACAAAGGTGTTTTTGTCCCCAGTCCTTAAGTAGGATAAATATAAACTCAATACATGACAAAAACTTCACACTGATCTGTGAAGTGCTTTTATAGTAGGCTCTTCTTTCAGGACCAACTGAAAACCCCTGCATCTGTTTTACCTATTAGAAGCAGCTCATGCAAAGAACTGCAGCAGTAGTAATACTTTCAGAGAGGTGAGGGATACAGTGGTGAAGTCTCTACAACCCAATTCAATACACCTGTCAGGACTTTGCAAAAGCTGGGAGATGGAGGTGGTGATAGCTGCACAATCACAAGTAAACATACCTAATGCCACCGAATGTACCTCTAAAAAGGGCAAATTTTGTGTATGCTTTACAATTTAGAAAACTAGGACTGTGGACTACCATAGCAATTGAAAAGGGTGCAGTGCCACTTGCAGCTGATATTTTGGATGTGCTATCTTTTTTGTGTTTGTGTGTGGTACTGGGGCTTGAACTCAGCCCTTTTTTTATGATGGGTGTTTTTGAGATAGGGTCTCTCAGACTATTTACCTGGGCTGGCTTCGAACCACAATCCTCTTGATCTATGCCTCCCAAGTAGGTAGTATTACAGGTGTGAGCCACGGGTGCCTCATGGCCCTCATGTGGCATCTTTTTAAATTATAGCTTCATGGTGTAATTCATACACAAATTCACCCTTTTAAAGTATATAACAGCTGGGCATGGTGGTATTCACCTGTAATACTAGCATTCAGTAGGCAGAAGCAGAAGAATCACAAGTTCAAGGCCAGCCTAATATACATAGCAAGATCCTATATTGAAAAAAAAAAGGCCAGGCATGATGATTCACTCCTATAATCCCAGCTAATTGGGAGGTGGAGGTAGGAGGATCAAGGTTTGAGACTTGCCTGGGCAAAGTTTGCCATGAGACCCTATCTGAAAAGCAAACTGAAAAAACAACAGAACTGGGGACATGACTCAAGAGGAACAGTGTTTGCCTAGCAAACACAAGTCCCTGAGTTCAATCCCCAGTATTGCCAAAAAAAAGATACAATAGTGTGTTCTAACAAAGTTGTACATTTTTCAGCACTATCTAGTGATAGTTCCAGATTTCATTAAATATACATACACACACACACACACACACACACACACACACACACACACACACACACACTGGAGTCACTCTCTACTCCTTCATTCAGCTCCTGGCAGCCACTAATCCACTTCCCCATATCTGGACATATCTGGACATGTCATATTAGAATCACACCAATAGGTGGCCCTTTTTTGTGGCTTCTTTCACAATGTACTCTAAGTTTATCCATGCTGTAGCATGCACTTCATTTTTGTGTGTGTGTGGGGGGGGGCACTGGAGTTTGAACTCAGGGCTAGAGCTTGCAAAGCAGGTGCTCTACTGCTTGAGCCACACCTCCAGCCCATTTTGCTCTATTTCGGAGATGGAATCTCTGGAACTATTTGCCCAGGCTGGCCTCAAACTCATAATCCTTATTTTAGCCTCCAGAGTGGTGAGACTAGAGGTGCACCACCATGTCCAACTCTGTACCTTTTTTCTGGCCAGATATTCCATTGTGTAGATATGCATTTATCCATTAACCACTGATAGCCTTTGGGATGTTCCTATTTTTTGGCTGTTATGAACAACGCTGCCATGAACATTCATGTAGCAGCTATAGTGTAAACTTACGTTTTCAATTCTTTTGGGCATATCTACCTGGGAGGGGAAATGATGGGTCATATGGTAGCTGTGTTTAACTATCTGAAGAGCTGCCAGTGGTTGCACCATCCTCCATTCCCACCAGCAGTGTACAATGGCTTCAATTGTTCTACATCCTTAATCCGTAATTTATTATTACTATTGTAGTCATTCCAGTGAATGTAAAGTGGCATCTCATTGTGGGGTTTTTTTAACTTTGTTTTTCTCTTGCTGGGGATTGAACCCGGGGCTGTGTGCATGCTAAACACGCTCTTGTTCTACCGCTGAGCTACATACCCAGCCTCCTTTACTGGGAAAAAGGAAACCTCAACTCTAGCAATCAGTATATGACTACTAAACTGGCCAGCTCATTTTTCTCAAAAGGAGGATTAAAAGCAGCTCAATTCAATTTAGATGTGTTAGATAGGATTCTTATTCTTTAGACACAATAGGATTATACATACATACATACCTACCCATTGTTATGTGACTTGACTGTGTATCCTGTGGGAAAATCCATGTGCTTGCCATCTTTGGGCTTGATAATGCAACATGTTCTCAAACCAACAAAATATGGAAAGATGTGACACTCCTCACATGGACCAGAAGCTTACAATTGCATGAGTTCTCTTAGTCTCTCTTTCTCCCTATGCTGTCATGCTTAGACAGAGGCTGCTCCTTAAGTCTGGGTCTCAAAATGAGAAAACATACAGAACACAATCCTAGTCTACTTAGAGCCAAACAAACCTAAACTGTCACACAGTAGAAACTTGAGTATTATGCACTATTTTTGAGTGCATAATGTCAAAAGCTTACACTAAACAAGGTATAGAGTTAAATAAATTTATACATGGTTCTTAAGACATTTTTTGTTTAAAAAGAAATCACTGTTAATCTGCCCTGATTATAAAGACATGAAATGGCAAATAAAAAGATAGTGAATGTTGGGGACCAGGCATGAACCCTGGACTGGGAAATAATGGAGCTTGAAGTCTCTCCTACTCTCATTCTTCCCAGCATCTGGTGTCTTGACCTTCGTTCCCGCATCTCCTTGAAGAAAACAACCTCCTGTCCGCATACCAACCTCCGATACGGAGACTCCCTGATGCCAGATTCATCAATACCTTAGATAAGGTGTCCTGTGTGCCTTGATGATTCCAGAACAGATGTGTCGTAATTAAGCTTCATTAGCCTTAGGAAAATTAGCCCACCAAACCTCATTCCTTTCACCTTGCATCAAGAATTGTTAAAGCTTGATTTTTACCTAAGTCTTTTCCTTGTACTGACCTATAAAATGAACACTCTGGCTCACGTAGGCACTCATGCATCCCACCAGGAACGTGCATTCCTTCTAATCCCAGCTTTCTGTTTTATGTTTTACGTCTGTATGTCTGTGTGTGTCTTATTTCTCATTCCCTGCTGCTCTTAATTTCATGCAGCATACCCATGCAGGTAGTAGGCAAGTGAACAATAAAATTAATAGTGCTATTTATAGCTGGGTGTGGTAGTGTATATCTATAATCCCAGCACTCAGGAGGCTAAGGCAGAAGTATCTCAAATTTGCAGCCAGCCTGGGCTATTTAGCAAGATCGTGCCTCAAAAAACAAAACAAAACAAAAAAAAGTGCTAACTTAAAAATCACTTAAATTCATTATCCATGATTTATGCTTCAACTATAAATTCTGAACTAGATTATTAACAGTTAATATATACTTCAACAGAACATTAAACAATTATTACAGATCAGCTTCAGGCAGTATTAACTCTTCTTTTCTTCTGATTCTTGTGCCAATTTCATCTTCTGTTTCAATTCCTTCTGATCTCTGGAATATTGTTCAAATATTGGTTGATAAATATACATTCCTCCAGCAATTCCAAGAATGCTAGCAAAAAGCAGTTGTGGACCAGTCAGTCTCCCAAACATTGTTGCAACAACCACTGCTCAATACAAAGGTGGTTTTGAAAAGTTACATCCCAAGTCCAGCAAATCTCTTCAGATCTGTGTACAAAGAAACTGGGGGGGGGGGGTTAAGCAATGATTTAGTACAGTAGTTTTTAAAAAGATTTCATGTCATATTTCACTCTGGAGTGAACAATAGTTTTGTAATAATACCTAAACACCATTTACTAACGAAAAGAGAAATATAAATATATAGGGAATATGGGAAACAGGATGACGGCGTGGTATAGAACAAGGCTAAATCCTTTTCTATTACAGAATGTTCTAAGTGGTTTTAAACCGACTTTCAAAATGCCAAGAGTGGGAAGTTGGGAAACTTTATACCTTTAAAGTCGGACCACAAAACTCAGTACTACAAGAAATGGCTGAAATAATACAGTTAAAAGTGTTCGCACCCGAGAAATCTGATCTGGAAGGAAGAGCAAGATAGAGAGCTGTTACTTTTCAATAATCTTCCTGTACTATTAATCTTTTTTTTAGCAGTATGATAAAAACAATTTCTTCAGATAAAAACAATCTTTTTGACTAAAAGATTTGGCTGGGACTATCACTCAAATGGTACAGTGTCCAGCTAGCAAGAGTGAGGCCCCTGAGTTCAAACTCCAGTACCGCCAAAAGAATAATAAATACATAATAAAAAAATAAATCTGAGAGCTGGAGGTGTAGCTCAAGTGGTAGAGTGCCTGCCTAGCAAGCGCAAAGTCCTGAGTCCAAACCCCAGAACCTCCAAAAAATAAACTGTGATTCCAGGTACTGGGAGGCGGGGACAAGGAGGTCACCCAGCCCAGGCAAAAGTGTGAGACCCTATCTGTAAAGAACGCTAAAAGCAAAAGGGACTGGGGACGCCTAGCAAGCGAGAGGTCTTGAGTTCAAGACTCAGCAGTATGAGTTCCCTTCAACTCTTCCGTACAAGAGGACCTCATCCACCTTGCCGAGCACCAGCCGGAAGGTTTCACTTGTTCAACTTTGGGAAGGGGATCTGCACGCGGCCTCCCCAGCCCCCGGCGTGGGAACTCAGCCCGTCTGTTATCTCCGCGGCCCGGGATTGAGCAGATGGACGACGGCTTCAGCAAGCTTGCTCTGGTTCCACCGCCGGGATCAACACACCCGGGAACCGTGTGTGCCTCGGTCTCCGCACCTGCACTACATGGCAAATCAGCCCTACCCTGCCTACCTCATTCGACAGACAGCTCTTTTCTGCGAGGCGGCCACCACAGTGCAACGTGACCAGGACACACAAGTTTCCAGTGGCCCAACCACCGCGGATCGCACTCGAGCACCCGACCCGCCCCACGCCGCCGCCGGAACCGCGGGGGAGGGCGCGCAGCTTCCGGCGGGACTTCCGGCGCGGCCCGAAGACGCAGGGCAGGCCCGCCCCCGCCCCTGCTCCCGGAGACCCCAGGGTTGGCCGCACGCGGAGAGCTGCGTCCCGGGACCCGCGCGTGGAGCGACGGCGGCCGCGAAGGCCAAGCTTAGTGGGAGAAGCGGTGCACGCGGCCTCCGCCCCTTCCTTCCCGGAAAGGTGGCGGCCCCGCTCCTCCGCCGGCTATGGATCCGCAGGGCGGCGACGGCGGGCTCGCTTTCCGCGGCCCCCACAGCCGCCCCCACGAAAAGGTGAAGCTGCGGAAGAGGAAGTCCACCCTGTACTCCGGCGCCCAGGACAAGGGCGCGGGGCACCGCCGGGGTGAGCCAGGGGCGCCGCCTGAGAGGTCTGGGAGGTCCCAACACCTGAAACGCTGCACGTAGACTTTAAAGCCATCTGATCTTGAAATGTCGGTGACTGAACTCAGAGTTCACAGAATACCCTGTGTTTGGCGTGCGGGCTGCCTGTCCACCTGCGCTTATGGGCAAACCCGGTTTCAGTTTTACTTCGGACGAGGCAATTTAATTTCTGGGCCATAAATTTCCTCCTACATAAAATGGAGCTAATCCTACCTACCCCATCGCATTGTTTTCAAGACAAATGAGATGCACGTAAAAGAATTAACACAATGATTGGCGTATATTAAGCATCAATAAGAGGTTTTAAGTGTACAAAGCATTTTATACACCACTGATGGTCATGTATACAAAGTTGCACTCTAAATTAGTGTGTGAGAGCTCCTTTCTCATTAGACACACATGCAGCATAACCCAATTAGCATTAGTCGTTTTTTTCAGTATTTATCTCATCCTCTCTTCGTACAGTAAGTTGCAGGGCATGTTGATTAAATGAAGAGTGGTGGGCTCTGCCCCCTCCACCCCCGCTCCTTTTTAAGGCAGTGTTGGAGCTGAACTCTGTTCTGATGCAGTCCAGTTCACAGTTCTGCTGCTGAGCTAAATCCCCAGCGCCTTCAGCCCCGCAGTGTAGATTTAATCCAGGCCAACCTTGAGAGTGAATTCACCACTGTGTCCTAACAGAGCCTGAGCAAGGGGCCATCCAGAGCTGCATATTTTAACTTCTACAACAGTAATTTGCCCGACTTTTGTGCCACACTTACCTGCTTTGTTTTGTTTTTCAGATCTTCTTGGAGAAAACATTTATCTGGTCTTGTTTACCATTGCTTTACGGATATTTAACTGCTTTTTAGTCCAGACAAGTTTTGTTCCAGACGAATACTGGCAGTCTCTTGAAGTGGCACATCACATGGTTTTCAAATATCCTTTGTAGTTTCTTTTCCACGTTATGAGTGTATATTCATCTGAAGGATTGAGGTCACTTTTCTATTACGTGTTTTCAACTGGTATTCTGTATTTTCTCCAAATAATTCCATCAACTTATACTGTTAATGTATACTAATATTTCTTCTGCATCTTCCTTTGATGTTGATATATTTGACACAGCTTTTTTACCTAGTGTATATGCCCACAATGCATAGTATTTGGAGAATACAGATGAAGTAAAAAACACATTCCTTTCCAGCATTTGGGAAACTAAGGCAGGAAGATGGCCAGTTTCAGGTAATGAGACCATGTCTCAAAAAAATCCAAATGAACCAACAAACAAATTCAAACAAACAAGCAAACAAAAAACCTACATTCCTGTCTGAAGAAGCTAAGAGTTTACTGGGCTGAGCAGGGTGCTAGTGGTTCTCACCTATAATCCTAGCTACTTGGGATGCTGAGATTGGGAAGATTGTGGTTCAAGGCCAACCCCAGCAAAATGGACTGGAGGTATGGCTCAAGTGATAGAGAGCCTGCTTTACACGCACAAAGCCCTGAGTTCAAACACCAGTCCCACCCCACCCCCCCAAAAAAATGCTGTATTTTAAACTTCATTGTCAACAAATAAAGTATTGGAAGCTAGATATATGGTTGTACTCTCCAGTAATCTCAGCTACTTGTCAAGGAAAGACAGAAGGGTTGAGGTCAAGGCCAATTCTGACAAAAAGTCAGTCAGATCCTGTCTCAAAAACAAATTGGGTAGGGTAGCAAGTTTTTGTAATCCCAGTTACTTGGGAAGTGAAGGTAGGAACGTCAGGGTATGAAGTGAGCTCAGGCAAAAACACTAGACCCTATCTGTAACAACAAATAAACTCAAAGCAAAAGGTCGGGGGTTTGGCTCAAGTTAAACTGGTTACCTAGTGGGTGTCAGGCCCTGAGTTCAAGCCCCAGAATCCAAAAACATGTTTCAATACTATGTGACATTTAATCCTTAATATTACTAATTATGGCTATTTGACCTGGGAATGGGCAGAAAGACTGAGGGGTTACACTTACCCCTTAGTGTTTGCAAGCATTTACAAGATTCTGCATCTTTTGGGAAAAGACAGTGTTCAGTTACTGGTGAGTGTATTTTTTTTTTTCGGTACCAGGGATTGAACTCAGGGCCTTGCACTTCCTAAGCAAGTACTCTACCTCTTAAGCCACACCTCTTAAGTTGTCACTGGTAAGTATAAATAAAAGTATCCAACATAGTTGTTAAAAACATAGGTATTCCAGGCTGGGAATGTATCTCAGTGGTAGAGCATTTGCCTAGCATTCACAAAGGTCTAGGTTCAATGCCCAGCACTGCAAGAAAACATAATGTCTTTCTTCAAGTTCAAGATTTCTGTGACAGCTGTGTTAGCTTTCTATTACTGCAACAAAGTACCTGAGATCAGCTTTAAGAGGAAAGGTTTATTTTGGGTCACAGTTTTGGAGGCTTCTGAGGTTTCTGTCCATGATCAGCTGGCCTGCTAGTTTGGGGCCATCAGCAGGGCAGCACATCACAGTGGGAGATGGAGGGAAGGAAGCTGCTCACCTCACAGTGTCGAGGAAGCAAAAAGAAAGGGGCCAGGTGTGCTCAAGTGTGCTGAAGTATATCCCACAATGATCTGACCTCCTTTCACTAGCCCCCCTTCCTCCTAAAGGTTTCACCACATCCCAGTAGTGCCACGGACAGGGGACCGAGCCTTCACTTGGACCTTTGGAGGACATTTCAGATCCAAACTCTAGCAGCAACCCTTCAGAAAACCTTCTTTTATCCAGACTAACCATCTCCAGTCATTAACCTCAAAATCATAGATTGTGTCTTCTAGAAATATTGTCACTTAATATCCATCTTAAAATGTGGATTTTCAAACTGAACAAAATATTAAAAGGTAGGGTAACTAGTTCAGAATATAATGGAACCATTAACTTCATAAAAACTATACACCTTTCAGTGCCCAAGACTGCTTTTTACTTGTTAGCAGCTATCTCACACTGTTGGCACATAATGTTTGTAGCAAGACTGACTTTTCATAGGAATTGCTTTCAGGGGGCCTGGGAAGTTAGAATGAAGCTGACAGCCTCCTATGCAGAGTAAACAGAAGGTATGTATATATGTGCCTTTCACTGTATTTTACAGGGCACAGTTTTCAGTACAATTAAAGGCACCTACCTATTTATACACAATTGACAAAAGTTGAAGTGTTAGAAGTGAAAGTAAGGCAGTTCTAATTATGTGAAATTAATAGTTTAATTGAGCAAAAACATTTACATTTGTTTAGTTTTTTATGGTGGTACTGGGGTTTGAAATCAGGGCCTCACACTTGCTAGTCTGCCAGCATACATGTTTTTATAAACATTCCCCCTTGATCAAAGGTTAAATTATACTATGATAACTGTGGCATGCTTTTTTTTTTTCTTTCTTTCCTTTTTTATTATTCATATGTGCATACAATGCTTGGGTCATTTCTCTCCCCTGCCCCCACCCCCTCCCTTACCACCCACCCTGCCCCCTCCTTCTCCCCCCACACCCCCTCACTACCCGGCAGAAACTATTTTGCCCTTATCTCTAATTTTGTTGAAGAGAGAGTATAAGAAATAATAGGAAGGACCAAGGGTTTTTGCTAGTTGAGATAAGGATAGCTATACAGGGAGTTGTCTCACATTGCTTTCCTGTGCATGTGTTTTACCTTCTAAATTAATTCTACTCGAGCTAACCTTTTCTCTAGTTCCTGGTCCCCTTTTCCTATTGGCCTCAGTTGCTTTAAAGTATCTGCTTTAGTTTCTCTGCGTTGAGGGCAACAAATGCTGTCTAGTTCTTGAGTGTCTTACCTATCCTCATATCTCCCTTGTGTGCTCTCGCTTTTATCATGTGCTCAAAGTCCAATCCCCTTGTTGTGTTTGCCCTTGATCTAATGTCTGCATATGAGGGAGAACATACAATTTTTGGTCTTTTGGGCCAGGCTAACCTTACTCAGAATGATGTTCTCCAATTCCATCCATTTACCAGCGAATGATAACATTTTGTTCTTCTTCCTGGCTGCATAAAATTCCATTGTGTATAAAGACCACATTTTCTTGATCCATTCGTCAGTGGTGGGGCATCTTGGCTGTTTCCGTAACTTGGCTATTGTGAATAGTGCTGCAATAAACATGGGTGTGCAGGTGCCTCTGGAGTAACCTGTGTCACAGTCTTTTGGGTATATCCCCAAGAGTGGTATTGCTAGATCAAATGGTAGATTAATGTTTAGCTTTTTAAGTAGTTATGGCATGTTTTTAAAAAACTCAGCATTAACATTTCTAACTGTAATTTAGTTGTAATACATTTAGTTTGTTTTGGGTTTTTTGTTTCATTTTGTTTTGCAGTACAGGGACTGAACCCAAGGCCTTGTGCAGGCTACTATCTCTTAGGCCCCAGCCCCATCTCTTAAATTTCTTTTGAGTTTTAAGTTTATTCCTTAATGTCATCTGAATATATTGATTATAGAATATCTGTGGGATTTTTAAGGTAATTTATGGGATTATTGATCTACATTGCAGAATGGGGAAGCAGTATAACTTAATAATTAAGAGCAGAGGCTTTGGTGTCAGGCTGACTTGGGTTTGAATTCTTTTTTCCATGCTAAGTAGTTCTTCAGCCGTGGGGAAATTACTTCACTTCTCTGCACCTTGGTTTCATCATTTATAAAACAGTTCCTGCCGCTCTGTCTTAGAAGATTGTTCCACCTGGATGAGCTATGTAATTTATTTATATAAATATATATATACACACATACATATATATATCCATACATACATAACTACTTGGCTAAGGCACAGTACTGTAAATGTTTGATTATTTTTAAAGACTATAGTGTGCTAATGAAAATAAATATACTTCTAAAATAGAATCTTAACACAATAAAATGGTTTGCTGGCTATTTAAAATTCACATTATTGGGTTGGATGGCTATGGGAAGACTTGAGGCCATGAGTTCAAGGTCAGCCTGGGCTGCATAGTGAGACCCTGTCTCAAAAAAGAAAAAAAAAGTGTGATATATAAGTCAATATGAAAATGGAGGGCTGGTGGAATGGCTCAAGTGGTAGAGTGCCTTCCTAGCAAGTATGAAGCTCTGAGTTTAAGCCCCAGTGCCAAAAAAAAAGAAAAATGAGAGTGGTAGGACTGGGGCATGGCTGAAGTGATTGCCTGCCTAGAAAATGTGAGCCTCTCATTCCAAATACCAATACCACCAAGAAGGGGGAAAAAAATGAGAATGGTAAAACTACCTTTAGAATGTCCGTGAGAAATAAAACTCTCATAGAAATAAATCTTTTGGGGGCTTGGGACTTAGTTCAGTGGTAGAGCTCTTAACCTGGTAAATATGAGGCCCTGAATCCAATCCCCAGTCTGCAAAGTAAACAAATTCATATCTTTGCAGAATACATTGTCTTATTTTTTTTACTAGAATTGGCTTTCAATTGACAGTTGGATCAGCTTGTTCACTTTTAATTCTGTCTGAACCAAGAGATGTGTTTAACATATTCTTGTTTTTCTTTTTAACTAACAAAGATCTGGATCCCGAGACTTGCCCAAGCACTTCTGTCTGCTATAGCAGATGTCAGGCTTTACTCACTAATGAAGCAACTAGAAAATCAGGAACTGGGAAGATGGGTGGTAAGTCCTAAACACTTCAGGAATTGTATGCCAGTTATTTCATTCCCAGGCATAAAGCATGTGGAAAATAAATAATGGTTTCCCAAAACAGTTTTAGAAGGTAATTCATAGAATTTTAAAGAGCTACTTCCATAATTAAAAAGAGTAAAATCATGGGCTGATGGAATGTCTCTAATTGTAGAGGCCCTGAGTTCAAGCCCCAGTACTGCCAAAAGAAAAAGTAAAATTTTCTAAAAAGTAAAAAAAAAAATAGTAAAATCAATTTTACAGTATATTAAGCACTGGGGCTAACTTGCTAGGAGGTGTGGCTCAAATGGTAGAGTGCTTGCTTTGTAAGCACAAAGCCCTGAGTTCAAACCTCATTCCCACCAAACAAACAGTAAAATACAAGTGGCATATGCCCTATCTCTCCTCCTGATTGAGTCCTGGGTGATGGAAGCCAAAACTTAGGCGAAGCTAAACCCTAGGAGACGGCCTTGGGAAGCCCTTTAACTCCTCAAACTGTCAGAATCCTTGGCTTCCTTTACCTAGAATTCAGTAGAGATGGTTCTAAATCACTGCCTACTTCACAAGCACCACCTCAGCTTTTATAGCCTTTGTTGATCATTCCTTCAGCTACAGAGTCTCAGCCTGAGAAATTGCTTTGCACCGGAATATTCTTTCACTCCTGGCTGGGATGCTTGAATAGCAAGACTTGTATAAGGGAGAGAGTATGATGAAGACTGTCTTTGGTCATTTGGCTTATTTCATGGTAGAGATAATCAATTCCTGACATCCCATTCAAATCTTGAATAGGGTTTCTCATTCAGACCATACCCTGAAAAGTGACTGGATTCTGTAATACTCTATTACTTCACTTGGCTCTTTCCAAAATTAAATAAACTACTACAGTTTTTGCTTCTATTGGAAAATACATTCCAAATTCCAAGTAAACCACTTACCAACATACTTCTGGGATATAATTTTTAGTAAATCAGAAAAAAAGACATTTTTCTGCAAGCAGTGCATTTTGCATTTTGAAAAGACTGGTTAGTTTAGCAGTTAAGCCCTTCTACTTGACTCAGATATAAAGTCATCCTCATTCCTTTGTGCTTATATGTTATGTACATTCCTGAAGGCTCAACATAAAATGGTAGGCAAAGCTCATGATGCCTTTTAAATCCTCCATCATAACAGCATGAGGTTCTTCTAGTTTAGGAAAAGCTCTTGATTTCATGAAAATTGGAACTTTGATTTTTTGGGGGGGCAGTACTGGGGTTTGAACTCAGAGCCTCACACTTGCTAGGCAGGTGCTTTACCACTTGAGCCACCCTTCCAGCCCAAATTGGAACTTTTTAAAAGTGTATTGGAAGAGATGAAGTTAGTACCATGTTTAACAACCTTGCCTCAATTATGACGTTTCTCTTAAGACAAATGTCTTACTGTATTTAATGTTTTATGGATTTACTGATGCTTTTGTTTGCATGTTCATTCATGACCTGGTTTATTAAGTTAGTCCATTTTCAACTTAAAATTTAATATACCTCTTGATATTTTTTCTCTCCTTTTAATTTTTTACCAAGAAATGGATCAATTAAAAAAATTCAAAGTGACTTGTGTTAGTACTATATGATTGTTTGAAGAACACCAATTTGTAAATCTAGTTATGAATTTCAATTCTTTATAAACCTTATCATAAAAAAATAAGTTTTGAAAAAAATAAATTTTGGGGGCTGGCAGAGTGGCTCAAGTTGTCGATCCTAGAAAGTGCAAGACCCTGATCAAACCCCAGTATTGTCCCCCGAAAAAATATGTTTTACATCTTTCATTAAGAGAAGTGGGATTTAAGTGAAATTCAATACCATAAAATACACCTGCAAGTATAAACTCCTTATCACTAACAAATATAGATCTGACATTGTCACAGAGCTATTTAATGTAAGTTTTTTTGTTTGTTTGTTTTTCTATGAGGCAATGTGCTTTTGAACAATGTTTGGGCATTTATACTTTAAAGATCATGTACCTTTTGATGCCAAATGCCAAACTTTCCCATTTCCTACTTCATACATGTTTGCTCATATTTTTTTTTTTTTTATTGCTCATAGTTTTTTTGCCAGTTGTGTTCTTGGTTCACATGGTATTGCTGTACTAGAACCCTTACAAACACCATGGAAACTGTTCTTTCTATAATTGCTCTTTTCTACTATCCTTGGGAAGGTTCAAAGTCCATGAACAGGTGAGCTATATTATTGTTAATAATTATCTACAAAACTCTAAAGCATGCTTTTGAAAAATCTTAGATATCAACATATTGTAATATCAAGTAGACTCCCTAATGTTTATGAGAGTTAGAAAAACAACAGATTTTCAGTGGATATATTATACGAGAAACAGATAACACATTCAAACTGGATAATTAAGGAGAGTTTAATAAAATCACTGTTTACAAAGGTGTAGATGACACTTAGGAAGGCCAATAGGAAATACTGTAGTATCCAGTGCTAGTCATAACAGGAAATCCCTATTATCTCTAGACTTCAGTGAGCTAAAAGAAACAGTTAATAACTGTTTATCTATGGAAACATAGATAGCCTTTAACAATAGCAAGGACATAGCCAGAATAAACAACCTTACTCATTCTCCTCCTGCCTTCCAGTTAGCCAAAGCCAATTAAAAGCCAGCAAGCAAGCCAGGCACCTGTGGTTCACACCTGTTATCCTAGCTACTCAGGAGGCAGAGATCAGGAGGATTGCCGTTGGAAGCCAGCCCAGGCAAATACTTTGCAAGACCCTATCTCGAAAAACCGTTCACAAAAATAGGACTGGTGGAGTGGCTCAAAGTGAAGGCCCTGAGTTCAAGCCCCAGTACTGCAAAAAAACAAAACAAAACAAACCCAGAAAGCAAAGTAGATGTAACCCATGCAGCTCAACCTCCCTACACAAAGAACAGGTAATGGGTGGAGAACAGATCTGGAAGGGCAAATAGAAAATATTTGGACCTGATTTGGGTCAGTGACACTTAATAAACTTAATCAGATTGATTTTGGCTAACTGAAAGGCAGGAGGAAAGTGGCCAGCCTTAGATTGACTGCCTGGCCTCAGGTGACCTCCCCTAATTTAGTAAGGAAGGGAAGGGTCATGCATGTGGTACAAAGGACTCCAGCCAGGTGTAGTGGTGCATGTCTATAATCCCAACACTCAGAAGGCTGAGGCAGGAGGATCTAGAGTTCTGGGCTACACAGTGAGCGTTCATAGTGAAATACTGCCTCAGAAAAACAAACGTTTTTGATATAAACATGAAAAGTACTACTCCAGATCTGAAAATAAAACGCTATTTTACACCTTCCATTTTGAATGCAGGTATTATAAATGAAAGATCCCTTTAAGGATGGCATTAGAATATCTAAGCTTTGATTTCTATAAAATGAGAATAAAACTGCTCTCAGGATTAAATGAGAATCTATAAAGAGACTATCCTAGAGCCTATTAAAAATAGATGTTCAGTAATGCTGACAGAGACAATATTGTTAAGCAAAGGAGTTTTTCTGGGCAACATAAAAAATGATGAAGAGGTTCCAGGTAAGTGACAGATTTCAGTGTAAAATGATGACAGCATGAAAAAGAAACAAAAGTGGGTATGTATTATGAGAAATTGCTATTTAAGGTGACTCAGAATTTTCATCTTAAGCTTAAGAAATAAAGTGATTCTGCTATTGAACGGTATACAGTGAACAGGTTTCAGTTAAAGTTGTGGGGTTTGTACATATATATCTTTCAGATGGATAAAATTAGCTTACTTTCAGAACAAAAAAAGCAGGTATTCAGAAGTTCATCATTGCCATTGCCTAAATAATCCTAATGATCATTAAAGGTATATGGTTTTTCTTAGAGAAAGGATTTGTGTGACTTTCTTACAACTCCTTAGGAAAAACTTGATGACTATTCTATCAAGAAAGTAACTGGCAGAGTTGTGATGTTAAAATTTAGTATACTTTTTAGCATTTAAGACTAACAATAAGCCAGGCTCCAGTGGCTCACAAGCCTGTAATCCTAGCTACTCAGGAGGCAGGGATCAAGAAGATCGAAGTTTGATGCCAGCGCGGGCAAATAGTTCTCGAGACCCTTTCTTGAAAAATTCCAACATAAAAAGGGGCTGGTAGAGTGGCTCAAGGTGTAGGCCCTGAGTTCAAACCCCAGTACCACCAAAAAAAAAAAAAAAAAGATTAACATTAAGACATTGGATAACTTCTTACTTGAAAATATTAGAAGATATTAGGGCTCTATAAGACATTAGGTACTACCTCTTCTTACAGATTAAAAACAAAAAAAAGATTGAAAAAATACAAGTGACTTACCATTATATAGCTATTTATACCAAAAGCAAAAATACCAGTTTTATTAAAAATGTATTACAGTGAAAATAAATTAACTAACTTCCTAGTTTCTCTTAACACATTTCCTTGCTTTTAGTGTTACGTACTCATTCCTGGTGGCTCTTGCCTTCATAATCCGTCCTACAGCTCTCATTCCGTGGGTGCCTTTACTCTTCAGGCATTTCTGGCAAGAACGGAGAAAGCTTGATCTTATTCTACATCATTTCGTACCTGTAGGGTAAGTATGGCCACAGTCCACCTATTAATTAGGATTTTTATATCTTCTGATGTCACTGAGAATTCCCAATCTTTGGAAATAGAATTTTTCCAACTTTATATTTTATATGTTGATATTTATGATACTGATTAGCTGTATTTTAACTTGCTTAAATGAGGGTCTGTGCAGTTATTTCTTAGAATTTCCATATGCTAAAAATTTCTCAAATTTTAGAGATGCATTCTTTTTCATTTGTATACGAGTTTATCATTTCTAATTGGCTTTCACAGTGCACAGGAGTTTCACTGTTCTTGGGATCTAGGCAGTGGATGTGTTATTTTGTAGTACAGGACACAGGAAACAAATTTAAAATTCGCTGGTTGCTGGGATTGAAACTCAGGTCTTCTAACTATACTGTGAAGATAAGACTTACCCAAAACACTTGGTAGAACATCCAAAATCATTATCTGTTGGACAGATGAATGCACTCTGACTCAAAGACAGTGATCTTTTAAATATACTAATACGCACTCTGCACAAGTATTTTTGGGGCAGCAACTTAAAAGGACATTATCTAAGTTAAGTTGCCACTATTTTCATTTCTCAGATTAACATTGTGTCCCTGCCTTTATGAGGTTTACATTCTAGTGGGGAAACAGTGAAAAACACAAAAGTCAAATACATATTTGTCAAGTGATGAGAAGCACTATCGGGAAGAATAATGCAGAAGAAAGATAGAATGCTGGGGTGGGGGAGGGAAGGTGTTAGTTTTTATAGGTAGTTAGGGAAGACAATCATAATCAGATGTTGTCAGGGCCAAAACCTGTCACAAGTATTTGAGAGCGTGAATCACGTAGATACCCGGGAAAAGAACATTCTAGGCAAAGGGACCAGCAAGAATAAAGTATGTTCTCCCTCATGTGCGGACATTAGATCACAGGCAAACACAAGGGGATTGGACTTTGAGTACATGATAAAGCGAGAGCACACAAGGGAGATATGAGGATAGGTAAAACACCCCCAAAACTAGATAGCATTTGTTGCCCTCAATGCAGAGAAACTAAAGCAGATACTTTAAAGCAACTGAGGCCAATTGGAGAAGGGGACCAGAAACTAGAGAAAAGGTTAGTTCAAGAAGAATTAACTTAGAAGGTAACACACATGGCACAGCAAAGTAATGTGAGTCAATTCCCTGTATAGCTATCCTTATCTCAACTAGCAAAAACCCTTGTTCCTTTATTGCTTATACTCTCTCTTCAACAAAATTAGAGATAAGGGCAAAATAGTTTCTGCCAGGTAGCGAGGGGGTGGGGGAAGAGGGGAGAAATGACCCAAACATTGTATGCACATATGAATATAATAAAAAAGAAAAAAAAGAATAAAGTATTTGTGGCATATCCAGGGATCAGCAACGAGACCGCTGTGACAGGACAGCGATCTTGGGAGATTGTGACAGTGATGGTAGGGCCCAGATCAAGCAGGTTTTTACACTGAGGGAGATAAAAGGCTCTTTTAGCTTTTTATGATACAGTTTATTCATTCAAAAGCATTTAACTGGGCTGGTGGAGTGGCTCCAGTGGTAAAACACCTGCCTAGCAAGCATGAGACCCTGAGTTCAAACCCCAGTGCCTCAAATAATTTTTTAAAAAAGGATATACAAAGCATTTAGCCTACTTGGTATCAAGCATTTGACTTTTCAAAGTAAAACATAGCGGGGCACCAGTGTTTTGCGCCTATAATCCTAGCTATTCAGGAGGCAGAGATCAGGAGGATGGAGGTTCAAAACCAGCCCAGGCAAAAAGTTCGCAAGACCATATCTCAAAAAACCCTTTACAAAAATAGGACTGGTGAAGTGGCTCAAGGTGAAGACCCTGAGTTCAAGCCCTAGTACCTTAAAAAAAAGGAGAGAAATAAAACATAGTATGTGTTCTCAAAGCCAAAGACTGGGAGAACAGAATTGTAACTAATTCTTATCCAACAATTTAAAATGTACTTTAATAGAAGTGTAAAATGAAATACTGTAAAACAGAAAATTGCTTGCTGGGGAAACATTAGAAACGTTGTAAAATAAGTAATGTTTTAGATACATCAAAAATGAGTTGCCTGCCAGGCACAGAAAATCAGCACACTTCAGGCTTAAAAGATCTGAAAGAAGCTATTCATAGGTAAATGCTTGTCTTGTTTCAAAAGAAAATACAGAATAAGATAGTGCATATGAAAATCTTTGTAATTATGCAGTGTAGAACAAATGTCAATCAGTCTTACGCTCAAATCCTTGATGTACACTTGGCCCCAGACTTGAACTATTCTAACAGCCTTTTACATACTGAATACTTAAAAATATCCAGAGACTGGTGGAGTGGCTCAGGTGGTAGAGCACCTGCCTTGCAAGTATGAGATCCTGATCAAACCCCAGTAACCAAAAATAATAAGAAAATAATAAAATAAAATATCCACTTGTAGCTGGGCACCAGTGGCTCATGCCTATTATCCTAGCTACTTGGAGGCTGAGATCAGAAGGATTGAAGTTCACTGTCAGTCTGGGCAAATAGTTCTTGAGACTCCATCTCCAAAATGACCAGAGCGAAATGGACTACAGGTGTGGCTCAAGTGGTAGAGTACCTGCTTTGTAAGCATGAAGCCCTGAGTTCAAACCCAATCCCATGAAATATAAATACATATATCAAATTGCATATCCAAATAGTATCTCTAAATAGAGAAAAATCTTGAATTACTCATAGGAAAAATTGTAATGAATGTGCACCTATTTTTTTTTGCCTTTTACGTATCATGAGAATTTGTCATGTGTAAAATCAAAAATAGGTCAGTTGCCTCTCAGCTGCCACATTTTCTAACCCACAGTTAGCGAGACTGGAATAAAGGAAGGGACATTATTGTAGGTTTTAAGGCATTATAGAGGTAAGAAGAGGATATTAGCATGGTGTTGGTGAATTGCACCTGTAATGCTAGCTACTTCTGAGACTGAAATGGCAGTTCAAGGCCAGCCTGGGCAACTTGGGAAACCCCATCTCCAAAATAACCACAGCAAAATGAACTGGAGGTGTGGCTCAAGCAGCAGAATGCGTGCTTTGCAAGTGTGAAGCCCTGAGTTCAAACCCCAGTCCCACCAAAAAAACAAAAGGACATTTAAATAAACTTCTTGCTAATATATTTGACAGCTTACAGGAAATGGAGAAATATATAGAAAAATACAACTTACCAAAATTGGCAAAAGAATAGGAAAATCTTAATAGTGTGTGTTTGTAATTAAGACCTTCAAACAAAGCATCAGGCACATGGATGCATAGGTGAATTCTTCGAGATATTTATCATAGAAGAAACATCAAACTCTTCCACAAAATAGAAGAAGAAGACTTTCCAACTCTTCTAATGAAGATAACATACCCTTGACCAAAATCTAACTAGGACATTATAAGGAAAGTATATTTATAAGCCAGTATGTGCCATGACTCAATGTAAAAATCCTAAACAAACATTACCAAACTGAATCCAGTTACATACTAAAAAAGAAACTAGCTGGGTGCCAGTGACTCAGGCCTATAATACTAGCTACTTGGGAGATAGAGATCTGAGGATGGTGCTTCGAGTCAGCTCTGGCAAAAAGTTTGAGACCCCCTGTCTTAACCAACACCTGAGTGCACTGGTATGTGCCCGTCATCCCAGTTATGCCAGAGGATTGTGGTTCCAGCCAGCCCAGGCAAAAAAGTTCACAAGACCCCATCTCAACAGAAAGAACTGGGTGTGGTAGCTTACACTTGTCATACCAGCTACGGCGGAAGGCACAAATCAGCCTGGGTAGAAAGACCCTATATAAAAAATAACAAAGGTAAAAAGGGCTGGAGGTATGGCTCCATCAGAAGAGCACCTGTTGAGCAAGTACAAAGCCCTGATTTCTGAGCCCAGTATCAAAAAAAAAAAATTTTTTTTAATTTTATTTTAGGAATATGAAATTAAGTTTTATATTTGAAAATCTATCAATCTGATTCACAATATTAAAAGAATAAGAAAAATCATAGCACCACTTTCCCAAACACATAAAAAGCAAATGATAAGATTAAAAGCCTACTCATGATTGGGGGGGAAAATGAAAGACAGCCCTTAGAAATCAAGCAATGTAAAGGGACCTATTAATATGATGAAGATTTCTATTAAAGTGTTGCAGCAAAATCATACCTAGTATAGAAATTTTGAAATCCTTTCCCCTAACATTTGGAAAAGATAGAAGGATACTCACCCGAACTCCTGTATCCTAGCTAGGGCAACAGTGAAAGCAAGTAAGTGGATGAAAGGAATTAAAGAAACCAGATGACATGATTATATGTTTAGCAAATCCAAACGAATCTAAAGGAGATACACTTTAAGTATGTTCACTGAATTCATCATCAATATACAAATGTTAATTATGTGTGAATACTAAAATTAGTGGGCAAAAGTTTGAGATTAATAGCATTTACATAGTTTCAAATTGTCTTCCCACAAGATATTTATTAATTACAAAAGAAAAAATGATAATTTTACAACAGAGAAACGTGGTAGATATACTTTAACCAAGTAAGTAAAGTTAACATTGTCAGAAATAGGACAAATCAATGCTGTAGGACTCCTGATCTGAATTCAGTGTTACTTCTGCCAAAAAACAAAACATGAATCTAATCATGAGAAAACATCAGACAAACCCAAAATAAATGACCTGATTCTCCAGAGATGCCATGTTCATGAAAAACAAAGATTAAGGAATACTTCATATTAAAGGAGTAAAGAAACATAGAACATGAATCTGAAAACTGAATATAACCAAAAACTGGGTCTTTTTTCTTTGCTATTATTAGAACAGGCAAAATTTGAACCATATCTATAAGTTATGTAGTAAAGATTTTAGAATATATCCTAAAAAGAGCCTGCAACTTACTCTCAAACAGTGCAGAAAAAGATGTACATTTAGAGAGAAAGAAATAACTAGAGCAAATATGGTAAAAATGTTAACGATTGGGGAACCTAGATGAAGGGCATATGGGAATAACCTCACTAGCCACAGTGAGAGGTGTATAGGAATAGGTGAAGGGTATATGGAAATCCAAAATATCACTCAAAATGGCATGAAAAACATCAGATACTTAAATATCAATTAATAAAAGGTCTACAAAATCTGTACACAAAAAACTGCAAATCATGATGGGAAAAATTTTATAAAAGCCTAAATAAATGGAGGAATGTACCATGTTCTCCTCAAATTGAACTATATATTCAGTGAAATTCCAGTTGAAATCCTTGTAGGCTGTGTATGTATGAATGTTTGCCTGAACATACGCTAATTCTATTTTTATTTTTTAAATTTCTTTTGTTTTTGGTGGCACTGGGTTTGTTAGGCAAGTGCCCCACCACTTAAGACACACCTCCAGCCCTGATTCTAAACTTCTGAGCAAAATGCAAAAATTTTTTTTTCAACAACAACAAAACAAGTGAAACAGGGTCTCATAAGTACAGCCCAGACTGGCCTTGAACTTTCGAACTAAATATAAAGATACATTTGAGTACATTAAATTTAAAGATCTTTGGGCTGGTGGTAAAGTGTTCAGTGATGGAGCACTTGCTTAGCATGCAAGTCCTGGATTTGATCCCCAGCACCACAAAAACAAAAACAAATTGCAGACCTTTGTTCATCAGATTCACTATTAAGAGTGAAAAGGCAAGCCACAGATCAGAAGGGATTTGCAATACATATGGACCAGAGATGTGGCTCAAATGGTAGAGTGCCTGCTTTGTTCTGCAAGCATAAGCCCTGAGTTCAAACCCTAGTACCACCAAAAAAAAAAGACCTTCCAAATGGCCAGTAAATGTAAAGGTACTTATCTCATTAGTTACGATGAAAATTAAAACTGACATACATCTGCTCAAATGACTAGAAACAACATGGAACCCTTGTATGTTCCTATGAGACTATAAATTGATAAAACTAAAGTTGACTGCTTATACTAGCAGTTGCAATCCTAGATATATGCCAAACACAAATACATACTTATGGGCACCAAATGATTTGTAAAAGAATGTAGCAACACTATTCATAGTAGCTGAAAATGGGCACAGTCTCCATTAACACAATACAGTGTAGTGTACAGTTACACAGTATTATAAGTTAATAAACTGCAGCACACAGAAAAACATAGTTCAGTCTCTCAAGCATGATGATGGAAGAAAACCAGGAACAAGAATGTATGTGTTACGATTCCATTGTCATGAAATTCAAAAGAAAGGTTGAAAGTCATCCTTTTCCATCATACAACCCTGTACTCAAATGTGAGCTACATTTGTTCACACATTTCTAAAGAGCAGAATATTGAGTTGGGCATCACTCCCAAGACTAGGTTATAAAGACTGTGGCTTCCATTTTGGGTGCCTGATTCGCTTTCACGTGGCTAACTCACCTGGAAGCAGCCAGTCACTGTGTCATGAGGCAGTCTTAAGGGGAGGGCCCTGAATCAAGGCACTGAGCCCAGCCAATGTAAGGAGATTAGAAGCCAATTGCTCTTCAATCCCTAATCACTCTCTTGACCTTACTAGTTTGTGAGAGATCTTGAGCCAGAACCACCTAGCCAAGCTAAACCTGGAATTTTTACCACAGGAAATAGGAAGTAATATATTCTTATGTTGCCAAGTTTGGGGAAAATTTGTTACCCAACAGTAGGTAAGTATACTTTGGTTCTTTTTGCAGTGTTGGGGTTGAACTCAGGGCCTTATGCTTGCTAGGCAGGTTCTCTACCACTTGAGTCACTCTGTCAGTCCTTTTTTGTATTGGGTATTTTCAAGATAGGGTCTCTTGAACTATTTGCCCAGGGCTGGCTTTGAACCATAATCCTCCTGATCTCTGTCTCCTAAGTAGTTAGGATTGTAGCCATATTACAGGCATGAGCCATAGTGCCTGGTCAGTCTTTCAAAATGTATAAATACATATTCAGTTGATGAAATTTTAAAGCATTTCTAAAAGTGTCTTTTAAAGCCATATGGCAATACTGGGTTTTCAGTAGGTTCTGAATGTTAGTCACAATTCTATTTTGTTTTTCAGATTTGTAACCTTGAGTTTGTCTCTGGTAATTGATCGAATTTTTTTTGGCCAAGTAAGTAAAAATATATTAAGAGCTATTTTTATTTCAATCATTTATTTTAATGAAACCTAGATTTCAAGTTCAAGGCCAGCCTGGGCTACAGAGTGAGACCATCTCAAAACAAAAATTTAAAAAAGACTTAAGAGTATGCTTTTGGTTTAATTTGCTGTGATTTCTATAATGTATTCCTAGCTGGTATTCAGAAGAGTCCATTTTTAAGAGAGGGAGGCATACCTACATCTTTGTTGGGTTTATAATAATAAAGGTTAAAATTTTTTACAACATTGATCACCTTAATCATCCAGAAATCTATCAACCAAAAATATACTTCAATCATTTGTTTGTTTGATATTTTAATCTCATAATTGTAGGTAATGGTCTTTGGTTGGTTTTAAATTCCCTTCACTAGGAGGGAAAGGAAAAGAGAATGACAAAGCATCAACAATATCATAAAACAACATCTGTGAAGGTACAGGATATAAGGATATGTATTGAAAAATGGGGGGTGGGAGGTAAGGGTGAGTAAAGGAAGGGGTTAAATGGATCAAAGTAAAGTATACCTACAGTGGGCATACACTGAGACACCCCTTTGAACATCAACTTAAATATTAATGACAAAGACAGGACTATAGAATAGGTTCAGTGTTGGGGGGGTACTTGTGGGAGGGTGAACGAAGGAGATTAAGTCGAGTGTATATTGGTTGATGGACTTCAGGTACTTACATGAAATAGAACAAAGAAAACTCTTGCAATTGCTTTAAGTGGAATGGGGAAGGGGTTGAGGGGGAGAGAAGGTGGGTGTGATACGACCAATGTACAATATAAGCCTATTTGGAATTGTCACAATGAATCCCCCTTGTACAACGAATATATCCTAATAAAAAATTTTAAAAAGTGAATTCCCTTCACTCCGCACCCCTCCCCCCCAAAAAAGTTAGCTGTGGCTCTGGAACCCCAAATCACAGTTTGAAACTTAGAACTCTCACTTTTAGCTATGTGATCTTGGACAAGTGGAACTTGTCTCATAAGATTAAATGAGGTAACAGGTATAAAATGCTTACATTTTCTGGCACAAGTGAGCATTTAATGTACCTAGTATTATGTTACTGTTGCTGTCATTACCAGCTTTGTGCTCTGACTCAAATTGTAATGTTAAGTTTTTCATAGTACCTGATGTGATATGGTGAAGTACTAGAGTAAAATTGTTACTGTGAGTACCACAGACACCATCTAATAAAAGTTACTTTTAGGCTCCTCTCTCTCTAATTAACATAAAACTTAAATTGCCAAAATATGTATGAACATTTATTCATAATTTGAGTCAACTTAAATCTCAAAATCCAGTATTTTACAAATTAACAAAGAACACATCAATTCGTATTCTTATAGAAGAAAAAGCCAATAGTTAGGATTGATTTCATATAGTCATTACTCAGAATTATTATTGGTGGTGGTACGGGGGTTCAAACTCAAGGCCTCACACTTGTTAAGTGGGTACTCTACCACTTGAGTCACTCTCTGCCAGCCCTTTTTTATGTTGAGTGTTTTCGAGATAGGGTCTCACAAACTTTTTCATCTGGGCTGGCTTCAAACTGTGATCCTCCTGATCTCTGCCTCTCAAGTAGCTAGGTCTACAGGTGTGAGTCTTAATGCAAGTTACTGCCTAACTTATTGACTGAAATTTTAATATCGTTTGTCAAATTCCAAATGCCAAAGATTAATATTTGACCCTAATACATTTCTATTTCTCTTTCCTTTCAACTATGTTAGTGGACTCTGGTTCAATTTAATTTCTTGAAATTTAACGTGCTTCAGAATTTGGGAACATTTTATGGTTCACATCCGTGGCACTGGTACTTCAGTCAAGGATTTCCAGTTGTGCTGGGTACTCACTTACCCTTCTTTATTCATGGCTGCCTTCTAGCTCCAAAGAGATACCGGATACTTCTGGTGAGTGTGCTGTGGACACTGTTAGTATACAGGTAAGATTTCATTTGTCCAAGTAGTAACTTTTTAAATGAACTAAGTGAATTCTTCAAAAAGCAAGCTAACATAAGGTTTTGTTAGTGGGGATTATTTTAGAAGACAGATGTAGTAATTATACTGGTGCTCAGAATGAATACTTTAGATACATAGAGTGCTAACAAGGATTGTATTCAATTTTTTTTTAAGGTTTTATTTCCTTTAAAAAAAAGGAGCTCTCCACCCCAGGTCACCGCTGCCTGCACCGTTTCCAGGCTCAACAGCCTGAAGCAAAAAAGAGAAAAAGATATAAATAAATAAATAGGAACTTGGGCTGGTAGAATGGATCAAGTGGTAAAGCCACCTGCCCAACAAGTGTGAGGCCAAATTCAAACCCCAGTACCACCACCAAAAAAAATGAAACCCTTTCTTTTGACTGTAATTGCACTTTGAAATTTACCTTGATATTAAATACTGTTAGCTTTAACACATCATAATCACCTTCTAACTAAAGGTGAATCACCTCCTTTCCTGAAGAAATTCAGTCTCCAAGTAGAAAACAGATGTTAATTATATTTCAGTTTAAATACATTTATTTCTCAAACTGTCCTATAATATTAAAAATAATGTTTTCTCCTAATATCTTTTATTATTATAGCATGTTGGGTCACAAAGAATTCAGGTTTATCTATCCAGTTTTACCATTTTGTATGGTGTTCTGTGGTAAGTGTTTTTGTTTAATATGGAACATAATTTATATAGAAAGTTAAAAGATAATGAAATGCTCATTGAACTTATTTTCAACTAGATAAAGTGAAAATTGCTTCTTTTTGGGGGTGGGATGGGGCAATACTGGGGATTGAACTCAAGGGCCTTGTGCTTGCTAGGCAGGTGCTCTACCACTTGAGTCACTCCAGCAGCCCTTTTGCTCTGGTTATTTTTGAGATAGGGTTTCCATTTATTCCTGAGCTGACTTGGACTGATCGTATTTGTGCTTCCCCAAGTAGCTGGGATGACAGGAATGCCCCACTGCACCTAGCCATTGATTGAAATGGAGTCAATTTTTTGCCTGGCTGGCCTTGAACTGTGATCCTCCCAATCTCTGCCTCCCTGCAAGTAGCTAGGATTGAAAATTGCTTAATTACAAATTAATTATATTACTGCAGTATTTCCTTTCTGTAATTTAAATATTGTGTGTGTGTGTGTGTATTTGAGATGAGGTCTGACTATGCAGCTCAAGCCCAGGTTGGCTTTGAACTCTCCTTCCTCCTGCTTCTACCTCTCAAGTGCTGAGGTTACATGAACCACCACATCCAGCTTGTAATCTAAGTATCTTTTTTTGTATATTATATAAAGTAAGATAAAAACATTAGGACCCAATATGCAAACCACATTTGGGTGGTGTTTCTTAGAAATCTTTCATTAAAAAAAAAAAGAATGTCTGTTTTCAAATAGATATTTTAAGTTTATGGCTAAACTGCAGGGTCTTCAATTTCACAAAAGTATATTCACAGCTGTTGAAACTAATGCCTCCAGCCCTTATTTATTCCTTTAACACTTACACTGAACTCTAGTGAAAATATAATTTTTAAAGTAATCACTGTTGTGATTTTAATTTTGGCTTTTTCTCCATTTTTCCATGAGGTCTCGGCAAGTATAATTTTTACTTGTAACTTGAAAAAAAAAATCTTTTTACTCAGCTCAGGGAAATCCAGATATTTATATTGGTTGGTTTGAAAGAATTATAAATCAAAACTTTAACAACTTCCAAGTTTAATTCAAAATAAATGACTACTGGCTTACTTCAAATATTAAGACCTTAAGGGGGAAAAAAAAAAAACTGGATTGGGAAGGAAGGAAATGAGTAACCAAATGAGCCTGGAGGCTGGAAAAAAAAAGTAGGAAGTTGCAGGTATCAAACTCACTTTTTTCTTAAAACAAAATGCATCAGGCAGCTTTCAAGTATACAACTCCTGTAGATCTCAGACATAACGTTGTATTGTCTACAGTTTAGATAAATATATACATCTGTGTATTGATACATCTGAAGTACTGAAACCAAAGCCTCATTTTTTGTTTGGTTTTTGGGTTTTTTTGGTGGTACTGAGGTTTGAATTAAAGGCCTCTCACTTGCAAGGCAGTCACTTGAACCACTCCTCCAGCCCTGTTTTTTATGTTGGATATTTTTGAGATACGGTCTCAGGAACTATTTGGGGGGCTGGCTTCAAACTTGATCCTCCTGATCTCTGCCTCCTGAATAGCTAGCTAGGATTACAGATGTGAGCCACTATTAAGGTGTTATGTTACCTGAGCGTTAGTTACAATTAAATCAAGCATTGCCAGAGTACTAGAGGACAGATAATGTGTCTTTTCGTGGTTTGATTAATTTGGGAACTTGATTTCCGTTTTAATCTGAGCTTTCTAAGTTCACCTTCTCTGCCCTGTTTCTTTACAAAGTATTTAGAGAGTGATGGAAGTTGTCTGGATATTTACTCCCAATACAAAAGTTAAGACTTTTTAAGTGGCAAGATCTCTGCAACCAGGGCCTGTTCCTATCTCAGAGGTTGAAATAAAATGCTACTGAGAGGCAGAGCGATCCCATGCTATTTCAGAAAAATCACCCTTTATTCCATCACCCTGTTAGTCCTGACTGACACCTACAGATACCCCTGGTGTCCTCACAGGATGTCATCTTTCCCTCATGATACAAACAGACCCAAGATTCTGGAATGGCCCAAAGAATCTGATTGCTAGATTTGTACTTCCACCAAGAGTCAGAGGTCTTTACAGTCAGGAGCTTCAAACAGTAGGACCAATTAAGTACTAAGCTCTCCTCCACAGAAGTCTTTGGACATTCAGGAATACTGTCAGACAGTTGTCTTTGAAGTTTTTCATGTTTTAAATTACTGAGTCTCTTAACCACCTGGAGTTTTTAGTCATATTACATCTCAAATCTTAGCCTTATTCTGCTTGTGTGACCTATTTTAACCTGGTTACATATAAATGTTAACAACTCTGTTACCCACTGCTGTAATAACAGGTCCCTCAAAACTTAATAGGTTTAAATTCCATTCATTCTCACAAGCTGCATCTCATGTCTGCTGTGCTCACTTACACAGATGTGATCAGCTGCAGATCGAGTAGCCAGCTTTGGTGACCTACGCAGGGCTCTCACATGTTTAGGGTTCAGCTGGCTGTAGGATGAGGCACCTCAGCTCTTCTGTGTTCTCTCATCCTCCAGTTGGCTAGCAGATTCCAAGAGAGGGTTTGGCCTAGAATCTGTACATGTCACTTCCACCACATTCTTTTGGTCAAAGCAGTCAAAAGACCAGGCCAGATTCAAGAGATGAGGAAATAAATACCAGCCCATAGTGGAGAGAGGAAGAATTAGAATTCTGTTTTCAATCTGTAATAACCTATCTTGCCTAACCAGAATCCCTCAATCCTATAAAGACTTAACACTACAAAAACATGTTTACTGAACTTCATAACACTGTGTCTCAGTTCCCTCATCTGTAAAAGGAAGGTGCTATTGCTTTAATAAGACTGCAATTCTTAAGAGTGAGCTACTCATTTTTTTTTTTCCTAGCACCTGCTACCTATTCTGAGTTGGGTGTGATGCTAGGATCAAAGCCAGTCTTGTGAATGTTGGACAAGCACTCACCCATTGAACTATGCAGTATTGGGGTTTGCACTCAAGACCAATAGGTAGTCTCCTCTACTGAGTTATGCCTCAGCCCATTTTTTTAAAAAAGTTGGGATGCTATTGAAGCAATGTTCATGTGCAGTTTTGATTTTTAAAAAACAGAAAAAGTGGCTTCACCAGAGAGAAGTCTACATTGGCCACTGACAACCCAGAATTGGTAGCAGTACTACTGCTTTCTTGTAAGAAAACCATGGACGCTAGGCTTCTCTTGGGCTCATTCAGTCTGGCAATATAATGTGTCTTTCCAACTCTGCCTTTAAAAACTCCAATTTCTGTAATTCCGGTAGTAAATTTTCAATGTCAAGACACTTTAAATCTGCATGTTATATTTGGCAGCCATAATATGTCTACCATACTACCAAGCTTTTCACTGGGTGGAAATTACTAAGGCCAAGATCTACGTGACAGCACAATGAGGGTGAATGGTTAGAGGAATTACGACTGCTTACTGTTTCCATGACAAATTATAAATGTATTTGCAATTAACATAAAAGATTGCTAGTGTAACAGTTCAATGTACCTCTCTTCACATAGGATACTCACTTACCCACCTGAAATCATGGAAGAAACCAGCTCTAAGTTTCCTGTTTTTATCAAATATGCTCCTTGCACTCTATACTGGTTTAGTTCACCAACGAGGCACTCTTGATGTCATGAGTCATATTCAAAAATTCTGTTACAACAGTCCCAATAAATCTTCAGCCTCAATACTTATACTGATGCCATGCCATTCTACTCCTTATTACAGGTAATGTATGTGATGTTATTAAGAAAACTGAAAGTTAGCTGTGGATGTAGCTCAGTGACAGAGCACTTGTCTTGTCTAGACATGTACAAGACTCTGGGTTCAACCCAGCAACATATACACACACAAAATTTAAAAATCTCCGCATCCAAACAATTGGTCATTGTTCAGATGGTAATAAATTTTAAAACTCAAGCCAGGTGTGGTGGCACATACCCATAATCCTAGCACTCTAGAGACTGAGGCAAGATCAAGACTTGTCATTTTAATGGTTTGACCTTAAATGTCCTTCTGGCACATAAAGGGAAGACAGCAAGAATCCTTTCCCTTTTATCACCAGTTTTCTACTTACCAAATAAGCCTTCAGAAAACTTCTGTGTTAACAAGGTAACTTACCTGGTTTCAAAAACCACTTAAGACTTCTGGACCAGCATACAAATGCAGAGTTCCTCAAGCTGCTAACTGACCCTACTTCTCTCCTTGAAATGGAGTTTTATGCTTTAGTCTGGGCTTGTTATGCTTTTGTTACATAGGAAAGTCAGATGCTCCATCTTTGATAAAATGTACTAAGGCTTGCTTCCTCACCCTTCACCTTAACTGGAATACAACTTACATATTCAGATTTCTCATTTTGCTAAATATATATGTGTGTGTGTGTATTAATAATAATATGAACTTTTTTTTTTTTTTTTACTTCTTCTAACTATTATGGTAACTTCTCTTTTCATAGCCATGTTCATTGTCCACTTCAAATGAGATTTCTCCAGTGTCCCCCAGACTTGACTGGAAAAACTCAGTATCTTGATGAAGCAGACATATTTTACCTAAATCCCTTAAACTGGTTACATAAAGAGTTTCACAATGATGCATCATTGCCTACTCACTTGATCATCTTCAGTGTTTTGGAGGAAGTAAGTAAACAAGGAAAAGAAGAAAATACAATTATTTATATTTCACCTCAAGATTAGCAAACACTAAGGTAAATAGACCATGTAATTTATTTTATGATCCCTTTCAACTCCTGTAGTTGATCTTTTCCCCCATCAAAAATCAGTTCCAGTTCTATAAATGTCAAGGTACATTCGTTATCATCAATAAGTTAACTCTTTTATTAAGAAATCTTGTATGAAGAGAAAGATGCAAAGGGCACAGTTAGAATTGGACATTCTAAAATTCTTTTAATCGATAGTCAGAAAATGAAGCCTTTATTTACATAAAAACATTTATTTACTTCTAGGAAATAAGTGCTTTCCTAACTGCAAGAAATTATGAGAGGACTGCTGTTTTCTTCCACACTCACTTGCCAGAGGGTCGAACTGGAAGTCACATATATGTCTATGAACAGAAGTTAAATGGGAAACTCAACAGAAGGTGAGATTCTGAACTGTGTTTAGAACTTCTGCAGAGAAACTGGTATTACCAGGTGAAAACATTCAGACAGTGCTGAAACACTTTAGTCAACACCAAGTGTGATTCATGGAATTTGCAATAGTTATGGACTGCTTTACCAAATACCACTACTGAGGAATTGTGTAAAATACCACAAAGTAAAACACCACATAGTAATACAATGCCAGATTTTAAATAAAGACCTTTCGTTTTCCTCATGGTGTAGTTTTATTGTTTCTTCCATAATATTCAGATTGAAAGAAATTTCACAAGAGAACAAATCTGCAAGCTCTTAAGAAGGCAGCAAATTCTTCACAAGTCAACGGGCTCTTGAACCCACAAAAAGATAAAAAGTGTAAGATTAAAACGTTAAAGATGAAATTCCATCACAACATACTTTTTTCAAGATCTACTGCAAATCTAACACTGCTAATTACACATTATCTTGTATCATTTGGGCTTGTTTTAAGCTCATACACAAAGAAGTTTTCATTTCATGCACAAAATCTGTCACATGCCTGGCTTCCTTAATAAAACTGTTTTTTCCACTCCTCTCCCCCCAAATTCAACAAAGTAAGTTACAAGAAAATGCAGGTTAGTAAGCTTTTGACTGATGCTTCTGAGTAGTGTAAAGCCAGCAAACTGATCCTTTTGATAATTTCATCTTAAGTTTCAACACCAAACATTGTAGAAAGCATCCATCTGTCTCAATTTTCTAATTTAACTTAAGCATAAATCAGTATTTTGGATCAAAAGGTAATTGCCCCAATTCTATCTCAACATTTGCCATGTGTCTTCCATTAATGCGACCATATTTATGCCATTTACCTTCCCTTTTGTAAGGCTGTGGCTGAAGGTGCTTCTGCTCTTGTTTTCGATGCCTGGAGTTTTCAATATTTACCATACGTTGCTTTTTATCAGGTCGACTGAAAGTAGTAAACACATTTTTTATCTATGTTAGTTCTATTTAATCTACTCCATTAATCTACTATCCATTAATCTACTATCTGAACACTGTGAAAAGATGTTAATGTGACACATAGATTTGCCCAAAACAGGCAGGAAAGGGGTGGATTTGGTGAGTATTGTACTTTTTTTTACCCTAAAGAAAAAACAGGCAAATATAACCATACTTGCAAAAAGGGGAAATGCTGAACAGGTTTTTTTTTTTTTTAAAAGCACTAGAAATGTGACAATAAAATAATGAGATGTATTTCCATTGTTTTTCCTTTCCTTAAAAATCCATCCCTCCCCCTATTGGCTTTATCCCTCAGCAGAAATATATACACATCTCTTACAAACAAAGCAAAACAAAGTCTCTAACTTTGCCTCTCTTACAATAAAAGTTCAGTATCTATACTGCCTTTCTTTAGTCTCTGTATTAGGTTTCTGTTACTACTTCATGGAATCCATACTGCCATCCATAGTCACTCAATTCCTAAGCCAATAAACATTTTTCAGTCAACTTTTGAAAAAAGCATTTGACACATTTGAATATTCTTTTACTTGACATGATTTTTTAGTTGTCAAGATGCCAGTCTGTAGTCTTGTCAACAAGCCCATAGATGTCGGATGTTCCCCAGGAGCCTGGTAACTACTTCCAGCAGAAATGTTACAGAGTAGAGTCTGGGCTCAAGAGATGGCCTTTATAACTAAATTGCCAACTAACCCTCTCCAAACAATTCTCACATAAATTTCTCTTCCTAAAACTGTCTTGTATTCCCTAAGTGCTAATGATCAGGCAGGCAAACCATACCAAAAAATCTAGACGTCACTGCTTTCTCCTCTTGCACAAGACCTAACTAAAGTTTTCTATTGTTCTGTCTCCTGTCCACTTCAACTGTTCTTGTTTAGATACTCATCAGCTCATGTCTGTATTGTGTTGACCACAGGATTCTGGCTTCACACCTTTCCAATCAATCCTCTAGACTACGGCCAGTTACCTAAACGGGAATACAATCCCCCACCCCACTACAGTATTCTTCTGAAGTTCTCCATGTCCTACAAGACAAATACTTTGGTCTAAAATAAGGACATTTTAAAAAATTCATCCCCAGCACTACTTATGTAGTATGTCTTCCTATCTCCATGCCTTTGTAAATGCCTTCCCATCTGTGTAGCTAATTCTCATTTCTCTTTCACAAGCTATTTAAAAAACAAGGCTAGCTGAAAGGCCAGTTCATTCATGAGGCCTTTCCAAACATTTCCATAGCCTGCGATCACTACATACATGCCCCATCTTCATTTCACTTACTGTATTTACCTAGCTGTGAGCAACTTTCTAGTTTTTCATTTGTTTTCTCAAAGCAGTCTCCCAGCACAGCACTTTGCTTATTATAGCACTAGGTGTTTGCTTAATAACTGAAGATACCAGAAATGTCTCATTATTTTATAGACGCATTACATTTATTCACACAGAAATATAGTAACGTATATATCTCAAAAGTAAAAAGTGAAACTAACATTTGAACATTAGGAGAGTTTTGTGTTTACATAATAAAAAGCTGATAAACAATGGGTAAAAACATAGGAAACACACACATTAGAATGTCTCTCGCTTACTGAGTTTGCCTCTTCCATCATGCTTACCAGTAACACCCCTGTGAAAGTATTAAGTAGAATACTTAAGTTGGTATGTGGACTGGACAAATGAAAACAGATGGATATCAGAACTGCATGAGCTCCTCTGATTTTAGAGTAAAATTCATGTTGTTCATTTCTAGCCTCCTAAAGTAAGTAAATAAAGACTAAAAGAAAAATAATTTAATTTCACATAAACTGAAAAGAACCAAAATTGGCCAAAATAGGATTTATATATCCTTAACTGATTTATAAAATAGAAATTAAATCATTTGCTCAAGTCTATAATGTTCATGAAATTTTCAGTCTATAATTTAAGAACTATCTTCCAATTTATTCTGTCTTTTCAGTGGCATCTCTTAAATTGTAACTTTCCAAGAAACTCATCAAATATAAAAATTCTGTTTAGTTTATAACTGTTAGAAACTATTATAATAGCATGGTCTTATGTAAACCGACCTGGGTCCATTTGAAGGGGAAAAAGTGAGATCAATGTGTCTATATATATATCCATCCAACTTCTCAAACACTCCATCATTATCTACTTGATACTCCTTCATGTCGGTAAGATAATCTTTCACATCATTAACAAAGTCTGTGAAGAGCTTCTGATCATGTCTAAAGACACCATTTAGGAAAAACTTATTGATGAATTGGTCAAGTTCTTTCCAATGATGAAAAGCACTCAGTTCTTTTAATAAGTACCTTTCAATTATTCGTCTGAATTCATCTATCCTTATGGGATTGGCTACATTAAGAAGGTTAATGGCTTTTTGTTGAGCACATTCAAATGCAAGCGAATAACCTTTTCTGAAAGAATGATGGTTTTCCCTATGGCCATGCTCAACACTACACTTCTGTGAATTTATATTTTTTCTATGTTCTTCAAAGTGAATTGGCTTTTCCTTCCTTCCGTCTTTTTGCATATTTGGGCCTCTGCGGTCCTGATTTTGGGTAGGCACCTTATATTGTGGGTGCAAATAGTCACTAAAAACTGTTTTTGGTTTCTCAGCTGCTGCTTCTTTTGCAGGACCAAATCTTTTATTGCCCTTTTCATCAAAGATATTCTTGGTGGTATCTTTGAAATGTCGGAAAGTGGATTTAACTGAATCTGAGAACTTTTTCAGATTTTCCTTCACAGCTTCCTTAGCCTGCTTAATTTTTTCTTTGTGATGCCTCACAAACTCCTTAGTAGAATTCTTCATGGCATCAAATGTTTCCTTAACCGTTCCCAAAAATGTTTCCTTTGACTTATTCTTTGCCTTGTGGCTTCCTCTGCTCCCTTTCTTTTTCCCATCAGTTTCTTGCTTCCCATTTTGTTCTTTTGCCTCAACATATAGTCTTTCCCACAAATCAGAGCGCTGCTGTTCAAAGTTCAACCTCTGCTCCATCTCAGTGAGTCTTTCCCGTAAGACCACTATTTCCCTTTTCTCAGCCACTACATTGGGAGAATCTGAGTCGTCCTGTGACTGACTAGTGCTTAACCGCTGAAGTTCAGTCTTTAAAGCCACTGCTATTACTCGTTCTCTCTCTAGTTCCATCTTTAGCATCCTTGCTTCTGCCAACAGAGTGTCCCTTTGATTAAGGAAGTTGTGTGTCTTCTGTTTTTCCTCTTCCAAATGTTGCTTAAGTTTCTGATTTTCCGTGATGAGCTCAGTACTTGTCCTGTCATCTTCCAGTATTCTTATCTGTTCCCTTAGCTTCCTTAGCTCCTCCTGTAATGTAGATACAGCTTTCTCTTCCACCTCCAGAGTTTGTCTTAGATAGTGATTTTCTGTAGCAAGATTGTTTTTCTGAGTTTCAAAAGAAATCTTTTCTGTTTCAGTAAGGGCCCGACAGCTTGCAAGGTTTTCTTTCAATGACTATAAATGTTTTTGAAAGAGAAGAGAAACATCATGTGCTTGAAAAGCTGATTTAAATCTCTAGCATATACTATATTACATACATCATAAACCATAGTGTATTTCTATAAGCACTGTCCCCTACGTAACATTTTAACAGCATTAAAACCTAAAATGATAAAGCCCATTAAAAATGAACAAGGCAAGAAAATGCCTAACAGAGAGCTATATCAAATTAAGAACAATAGCATGGTAGAATAATTAAAATAAGGAAAAGTTAGCTAGAGCTCCATTTCGCCCTAACAGTACTTTTAGGGCTGGACACTATTCACAATAGCCAAGTTATGGAAACAGCCAAGATGCCCCACCACTGATGAATGGATTAAGAAAATGTGGTATCTATACACAATGGAATTTTATGCAGCCATGAAGAAGAACGAAATGTTATCATTTGCTGGTAAATGGATGGAATTGGAGAACATCATTCTGAGTGAGGTTAGCCTGGCCCAAAAGACCAAAAATCGTATGTTCTCCCTCATATGTGGACATTAGATCAAGGGCAAACACAACAAGGGGACTGAACTTTGATCACAATATAAAAGCAAATGCACACAAGGGAGATATAAGGATAGGTAAGACATCTAAAAAATTAGCTAGCATTTGTTGCCCTCAACGCAGAGAAACTAAAGCAGATACCTTAAAAGCAACTGAGACCAATAGGAGAAGGGGACCAGGAACTAGAGAAAAGGTTAGATCAAAAAGAATTAACCTAGAAGGTAACACACATGCACAGGAAATTAATGTGACTCAACTCCCTATATAGCTATCCTTATCTCAACCAGCAAAAACCCTTGTTCCTTCCTATTATTGCTTATACTCTCTCTTCAACAAAATTAGAGATAAAGGCAAAATAGTTTCTGCCGGTTAGCGAAGGAGTGGGGGGGAGAGGGAGAGGGTGGGATGGAAGGTAAGGGAGGGGGTGGGGGCAGGGGGGGAGAAATGACCCAAGCATTGTATGCACATATGAATAATAAAAAAATAAATTAAATTAAAAAAAATTAAGGCTGGAGACATGCTCAGTGGTCAAGCACAAGGCCCTGGAGGTGGAGAGAAGAGGAGGGAGGAAGGGAGAGAGAGAGAGAGGGAGAACTGCAGCACTTGTGATTAGTGTTTCCCATAATAACATGAAGTTCTTACTGGTTTCCATAGACTCAGAAGAATTGAGGATAGCCTTCTGTCTTCTGACTACAGGACATTATCCCGAAAAGGCTCTTCGAGAATTTAGGTAGGACTAAAAACTTTTCTGGTTTTTTAATGAGGGAAATAATGTTTTATAAAAGGTAAAGTTATAAGAGAGAGAGCGAGGTAGTTACATCTAGAACTGACTTTGGGCTTCAAAAACTTGTTTATAGTCATTGCACTCTTTGAAAGAACAAACGCTGCGATAATCATAGTCCCAGTTGAAACATTTTAGTCCTATACAAATTAACATTTCTAGGTATGTCCAAGTAAGTCATAAGATTTTACAAGCACATTAGAGGACAGACTAAATACAGATAACACACATAACTAATTCCCCCAATTTCAAATACACTTCTGAGATCACTATAACCCAGATTATAGTAACTCTGTAATCTGCACAGATTAATGTAAATCTTAAATCAGCATCCATGATTTACAGAAATGATGGTCAATCAGGATTACAAAATTCTACTGCAGTTCAAGGTAGACTTCCCTGACCTGATTTTTCCTTCAAATTCATCCATTAGTAACAAACTTTAACCACAGGTAACAAAATAACATTTCAACAGGTTGTTATAGCACTATATAGTTAGTTAAAGTATGTCATGGGGGTAGAATGTACCTCAATAGTGCAGCTCTTGCCTAACATGTAGAAGGACCTAGGTCCCCAGTAACACAAAAGAAAAAAATATGTATAATAAGGATGATACTTTATTTTGGCTTAATTAACTACAGATATTAAGGTTAATCCTATTTGAATCAGACCAGTAAATAATCTGATTTCACAAACAAAGATGAAAAGGAAAAAAAAAGCCCTTTAAGGTAATAGCAGTATTTTACACTTGAAAAGCAACTAGCTTAAACAGTTGCTTTCACTCTCTAGCTCATTCATCTTCAGAGATTAAATTAAGATTTAAAACAGCCAGGCATGGTAACACACACAGGCATTCCCAACACTGGGAGGCAGAAGCAAGAGGATCACAGTCCAAGGCTATATAACAGGATTTAAAATGTAACCATAGTCATTTCATTTGCACTACCTGTTTGAGAGAAAACAAGTTTCAGCTACCAAATAGCAGAGGACCATTGAACAGAAGAGAGTGACACATTATAATCTATCTTTCTTTGCTTGTTTTGTGGGACTGGGGTTTGAACTCAGGGCTTTGTGCTTGTAAAGCAAGTGCTCTACTGCTTGAGCCATATCTCCAGTAGGTAGCAGAGCAATCCTCATCTGGTACAAATGATCTTGGAATTAATTTGTGTTCTGGGGCAGGTCTTCAAAGAGCTCCAGCATCTGAATCACACACACCTAACAGCTGCAAAAAAGAAATCTGAAAAACTCACTCTCTAGAGATTTATGTCTCCTAAAAGCCAAAGTCATTCTATAGAATCAGAAACCAAGGTGATGATGAACAAAATGGCATCTTCTCATATACCTAGGGAAAATGTGTTTTTGTTTTGGTGTGTTGCTTTTATAAGACAGGCTTCTCACTATGTAACCCAGGCTAGCCTAGAATTCACAATCCTCCCTCCTCCATCCTGCCTCAGTCTCCTTCCCAAGTGCTGGGATTACAAGGCTGCCTCACCAGGCTAACAGATTGGCTCAACTGGTATAGCATCCACCTAGCAAGTGTGAGGCCCTGCGTTCAAATCCTAGTGCCACAAAAAAAAAAAGAGTACACCACCATGCCCAGCTTGGAAACTGCATTTTTGACAATTTCAAAAATAAAATCCTTAAAAGACACAATTTGGATGTAAAATAGGATTCCATTGTTCCAAGAAATATAATTATAATCCTGTTAAGGACACAAATATAAATTGTGGGGAGACTTTGGAGGAAAAAAAAGCTACAGCTTATTTTTATGCCCTGCTTTTAAATCATCTGCAATTCCTTTACCCCTTCACCCTTCCTAGGAAAGAAATGGGTAAGAAACCAGATAGATACTTAAAATCAATTTAAGCTTTGCTAGCCTTGCCAAAGTTGTATAACCTTTCTGAACCACTTTTCCATCTATATAATAAAATTAATATTTGCTTAATTCACAGGTAGTCATGAGAAACAAGAGATACATGATGCATTCCATGATGGTGACTATGATATAGCAAGTACTCAGTAAACAATTGTCAACATTACTGATTTACTCATCATCATTACACTTGTATCTATCTAAATAACACAACTACTGGTAATAGTTAATTTTAGTATTTGCTAGTGGTACGCACCTTAGAATCTATAAAGGATTCTTGTTCCTGTTGACACAGAGAAAGATAATCCTTCATATCATTCAATTCATCTTCATGTATCTTTTTGACTAACTGTTGACGCTTCTGAATCTGAATTGTGCCTAAAATGAAAAATTGTTATTATAGGTATAAACATTATGATCACCAACAATTAAAAACATATAAAACATTTAATCTATATGCAACTACTTAATCTGGATAAAATAATTGATTTCTGTTAAAAAAATTCTTATAATATATAAACAAAGACTATGCATGTGAAAGCTCACAGTGTCATTTATCAAATGATAGTGGATGTTAACTGTAATACAAACCAGGCCAAGAGCAGGTTAATTTATGTTTTAATTTATTTAGCACACACATAGAAACATTTAAGCAGTTCACTATCCTTTTGATTAAAATAAACAAGCTAGCCTATATTACTCTAACAAACAAACAAAAATTATGAAATGTTCTTGTCTTACTATAAATTGCAGTAATTCAGCTTTATTGTTTTAAGGTGATCTTTGAAGTATATAATGTGTTTGAAACTTGCCCTTTACACAGAAAAATTAACAATCCATGGTGTTTTTTCCCACAGGATATTTTTCAATATGGATAAATAAAAATATCTTTTCTTTGTGGTCCTGGGTTTGAACTCAGGGTCTACCACTTGAGCCACTCTGCCAGCCCTTAAAAAGGTCTTTCTTAATAATTTACCTATAGGATACTGCACAAGCCTACAAAGTACAGCATAGCTGGCTAACTATGAGTACCCCCACCCATTCCCAAAGCCAAATCTTTTTTAAGAATTCTGCAATGGCACTGAAGGTGAGTTGTAAACCCTTGCCTCGCATTTTTGCAAGACCCTTGGTTCACTATTCAGCAGCCCACACCAAAAAAAAAATTCCGCAATGGTTAAATCTGTACTGGAGTACCACCATCTCTTATTCTAGCAGATAGAGAAGATTCCTTTATTTTCACCTTAAAATCAAACCGGTATTTTGACAAGACATGCTGTTCACATACTGCTACATGCTTCATGCACAAGAAAAAACCCCACTAGATCAAAAAATAGGGCAAAATGCACCGTGCAACCTTTCATCTATTGAGTGAGAGTACCAGGATGTATATATACCACAGAATTTTAAAACAAAAGAATGTGATGACAGCTTACTATTTTTTCCTCTAATTGCTACAAAAATTATTTTCTTAGTTTCTGCAATAAATCTTAAACACTAAAAAAGAAAACTTCTGTTGACCTACAAACAACTGTTAGGTTTTAAAATTACTCAAAAGAAACTGAGATTTCTTAAAATGTTGAAAATAACTGTCTGTAATTTTTACATATACATTATATTGATAATTCTTATCTATAACTCCCAGAGTAACAGAAAACCTCTAGTGTTCTATTTTCAATCATGCTAATCAGGCAATTCCTTTGCCTGTTGGGAAATAACCTATGTGAGATGAATGTGAGACACTATTACATGGCATGTGGTTGATGTTTTCAAGTAGCCTTTTTCAACCTCACTAAGTAATCATTGGGGTTTTTCCCCTGCATCTTCAACTACGTACCTATGAGTGTTACCACCCAAGGCACAATCTTTGGCCTAAAGTCATGTCTACAAACACTACCTCATCTTGCACATTAACCCACTGTCAGATTTTGCTGCCATTCCGGGTAAGACTTCTCAGCTATGGATACACATATACCCTCCTCTTATAAGGTGGGGCACCTTAATGGGAAAGGGGGATTCATACTTCAAAACCTACCCTAAACCACTCTACAATAAATTTAAGTAAAAACCATCCAACCTATGCTTATCATCCATTTACTTTAATACCTGGCAAAACTCTTCCCCAGGAGCCCCAACTCCAAAGGGATGGAGCTAGCAGTTCCTAGAATTTAATAAACTACCAATAACCCAAGTATCCAGGCTCAAAGTCCTATCTCATTACTATATAGACCTACTTCATACACTTCATTATCCATGTTTCTTATACTTTGAAAAGCCTAATATGAACACAGGAAAATATTTTATTAATTTTAATTACTAAAGTAAATTTTTTTATTAGTAAACAAAATCCTGTGTAACAAAGTAACAATTTCTTGCTTTTGAAAGATTTTTTTTTTTTAAGCTTTCTGGTTTCTTTGGTGGTAATGGGTTTGAACTTGGGGTCTCATGCTTGCTAGGCAGATGTTCTGCCACTTAAGCCATATTCCAGCCCTAAACTAAACTTTCCACAAAATATCCAAAGGTCATGCAGTTGGTAAGATTTTAATACAATCAACAGTACACATCATTATCCGACCTTTACTTTTAGTAAGAAAAAAGATTAAGGCCTTCTCCTTTGTTACCTTCATGTTTACCTGTAGAGGGAAAAAAAAAATCACTCAAAAATATATTGGTACATTTGGTCTAGGTAGTCAGTGAAGTTAACTGTGCATTTCAAATAAAATTTTATTACACTAAACATCAAGGGAGGATACAAGCTATAGTTCCTCAGTATTAAATTCAAGCGGGAATCTATCAGGAGTCTAAATACTTAATATAAAGTTAAACACAAGAAACAACACATTTTTCTAACTTGACTTTAAACAAGTACTGATTATCCTCATTAAGTTTATTCTAACATTAAACTATGTTAAATAGTATCTTGTCCACACCAGCATAAGGTACTTGCAACTCTTCAATCTTTGCATAACAAACACGTTGTGGGAAAGAACTAGCAAAACATAAAGTCCAGATTATGCAGACAAAAAATATCTAAAAATAGTTTGTGTAAGAGTTACCAAGATTTGTGGAGTTACCAAGATCTAAGACATTTCTTTTTAAAGTGTATTCCCCCAAAGTCCATATAAGGAATCTGAATGCTCAGTTCTCTAATACTTGTCTTTGTACAAAAATATACCTTAAATAAAAGACTCAACAGTGACACTCCTAAATGAAAAATAACACCACATGGCAAAATTCCTATTTAAAGGCTTTGAATTAATAAAATAATCAACATACATAAACACTATCAAGCATAATTAACACAAAAATGTAAGGCTAAAGTACAAGATGAAAAATTACCAATTGCAAGAATGAAGGTCAAAAAATGATGACACCTGCATTAAACCTCAAAGTAGAAATAATGAGCACGAGCTATTGGGACATTTCAAATATAACTATTTTCACTGGGATTTAAAGATTCTGTAATACCAAATCAGCCTCATGGTGAGCACTTCAGAATTTTCTTTTTTCAAGACAGTTCTTGCAAAATAACCAGACTAGATTCAAATGTGAGATCCTCCTGCCTCAGCCTGTTAAGTAATTACAAGTGTACACCTCCATACCCAGAGTCAGATTTTTTTAATCTTCCAATCGTTTTACTTAAGAAAGAAAAGCAGTGCTAGAAGTGTGGCTCAAGTGGTAGAGTGCTTGCCTAGCAAGTATAAGACCCTAAGTTCAAAACCACTTAAGTGTTAATAATCCTTGTTTGCATTATTTGGGAGGCTGAGGAGGATTGAGGGGTTCAGGACCAATCTTGGCTATATAGCAAGACTTTTTCAAATGAAAACAAAAACCAAGATAGTAGAGCAGCATGCCTGCCTAGCAAGCATAAGACCCTGAGTTCAAAATCCCCCCCAAAAAGGGACCTTTTTTTTTTTAATTTGACACAGGGTCTACCTATGAATTCCTGCAAACAAACCTCCTTCAAACTCCTGAGTAGATGTGATTTCTAGTACAAACCACTGTGCCCAGCTCTTAACATTTTTTTTGGCAGTATTGAGGTTTGAACTCAGGGCTTTTGCACTGCTAGGCAGGCATTCCACTGCTTGAGTGATGCCTTCAGCCTTTTTTGCTGTGGTTATTTTTGACATAGGGCCTCCCTCTAAGTCAGTCTGGCCTGGATCATAATCCTCATATTTAGGCTTCTCACATAAAAGCTGGGATGAAAGGTACACCCCACAATAACCAGCTTTTTCCACTGAGATGTGGTCTTGCAAAGCTTTTGCCCAGGCTAGCCTGGAATTGAGCAATTCTTTTGAACTCAGCCCCCTATGAACCCAGCTAGCTCTTGCATTTCTTAATAACTATTGCCTTTTGTGAGATAAGCAGCACTGTCTATAGCTACACCACCATGAACGTGCCAAATCTCGTCAGATAAGCAGTACTATCTCCAAATGAGAAAACTGAGATTCACACCAGGTTGCAAGGTGATGCAGAATTCTATGATTGGGCTGGGGATATGGCTCAAATGGTAGAGCTCTTGCCTAGAAAACTCAAGGCCATGTGTTCAAACTCCAGTACCTCAAAAAAAAAAAGTAATCCAGAATCCCATGATTCCTCATCCTTAGTAAGTGCTCTATACTATGGATCAGTTTAGGTACAACACATTTTCAAATACTTACCATAGAAATGTCCAAATCCCATGCTGATAGCAATCACCAAAGCAAGTATAACACACTTATTGAGACCACTACTGAACTGGCGTTTACTCAACTCCTTAGAAGGTTCGTTTTCTTGTTCAGCAAGTACCCGTTCCTCGGATTCCGAAGTAGAAACTGTCTTCTTCCTACCACGGCGTCGTCTATAGGCAGGACTGGGCTGATTACAAGTTTCATCACTACTTGATTCATCATCCTTAGGCTGGGATGGAAAAACTATTTTAAAAGGAAAAATGTCAGTACTTAGGTATTAAAAAGTTTAGAAAAGCTTTCCCAGTAAATATAATTTAAAACAATCAATGCCAACCCTACATGCCTTTTAACATGAGACAGCCCAAAATAGAAGCAACACAAACAAAAACAGAAGTTTTTAATGTATCAACATAAAGCAGAAAAATAAAAGACCTCTAATGTAATACAAGAAGAACATGTTACACATATTACTCTATGATTTGAGAGTTTACTTTTCTGGATTTTTAGTTAGCCGCCATACCCTATACTGTATATTTATAGAACAACGTTCATTACCATAATTCCATCTCTATCAGAGGCATAAACAAGTACTATTTCTGGAAGAAAAAAATCCTTTATCTCATTCAATTTCAAATACACATAATTTAAACTTCATGGCTTAAGGAATACAGGAAGGTATACAAGCACTTTCTGTGACTTGCAACATGTAACATATCCCAAAAACTTCTGTAGGTGTATGAATCTGGCCCCTCCTTTGATTTCCAATCCTATCAGTCCATGATCAAGATTCAAAGCACTATAGGTTACTATAGGTTTCCAGAAGTCAGATGAGCCCTTCCCTTCGACTGCCACTCTTACTAGAAGGTTATTAATTTTACCCTCTAGTAAATATGTCAGCATGAGGAAGTGACACAACAGCTATCTTCGATATTAAGGCCTAGTATGGTGCTGCTCCTTTATGAAAATAATAAAGAACAACAAATTGGGCGGGGGGAGGGGTTGCACACAAAACATCAAGTCCTGGAAACATCAACTTCAGTTTTTTCCAAATGCACATTTTCTTAAAATACTCCGTATTTCAACAAACTAAATGATACAGAAGATAGATCACTCAATAACCTCCATAGGCCTGTAAGATAAGCACTAAAAACAAGGATAAAATACGAATCTGAATTTAATACAAAGCTCCAAAACAAGCACTCATGCCCCAAAGAAGCAAAACAACATATCAGAAGACAGGATATCCATGCCACAGGAAAGCTGATGATTTAGTTCACTTTTACAGGACAACACACACAAAGATAAAAGTCACTACTGGATGAATGAATAGCCTAACATTTAGTGATACAGATGCCCTGAGAGATCTTTGGTTATGACCCTTTTGCCCATGATGTCTATCTGGTTATCTTGATAGATAACCAAGATGCCGTCGCCTCAAGTGTGAGGTTACATTTCTTGGACAAAGAGAAAAAAGGAAGACTTAAACAAAGCATTACATAATATGAAGCCATTCATGATCACAGCTGGAGTATTGAAGTCAGACTTCCTGACACAGAATTTCAATAAGCAAATATAACAATCTGTCAAACTTCCTTAAATAAATTTTCACCTCTTCATTATATACTGTAACAAACTAGCCTACCCAATATTAATATACTCATGTCTTCAATGCTTCCATCTCTTTTAACCTATACATACAAGGGCAGGAATATTTTAATTCTTAAGCTCCTTTTAAAGCATAATTTTGTCCACAGTCCAAGATGCAAGCAATGCAAATGCATGCAATAAGCTTAGCCAGCTTTCACAATACAAAATCTACTTTGAACACCTGTTTAGAGTAGCACAGCTAACAGAACCTGAAAGCACTCAGTAATAGTAAATGTGACTAGGCACATTCAGCTCTTGAGAAGCTGATGAGATTTAGTCACACCACCTTGGAAAGCCAGTTGGCTAGGAACATGGTGTTTCAGCTGGTCATCCCAGCCCCTTATGCATTCAGGAATCTTCCACAGCTTCTCCCACCACCTTTCTTTTGTGAATAAACAGGAAAAAAGATGCATAAAGCTTTATTATAAATAATAAAAAGGAAAAAGTAATTTTGTTTTATTACTAACATTACTATCTGTGCTACATTAAAATCTAATAATCATGTCTTTTTAAAAACATATGCAATACAAACGTCTCTATAGCAACTCATTTCGCCTTTTTGGGAGGAGAGGTTGTTCATATGAAAGTAGACAGTATTCTTAAATGAGCAAAAAGTATGTTACTGTTACAATCTAATTCAGAAAAAATACATGAAGTTGAAATCCTATAAGGATGAAGAAAAGGAATGAAAAAAAAAAAAAAAGCAATGGGTACATGAATTAACAAACCAAGGGAGAGGGAGAGCCAAAGGTAAGGAAAAAAGAACAGAAACTCTTGGCAACTGACAATATATAGTTGCACTACATCTCAGTCAACAATGATCACTGATGACAGAGGTTCTATGCAACTGCACTGTCTACTGAATAGCACTCTTACGTTGCATGTGTGCACTCTATGATGAACATACAATGATGGAATCACCTAATGATGCATTTCTTATACCGTATCATGTAGCTGAACAGTCCATAGCTTATAAAGCATTTTCAGCACAGATCCAAATGTTTTATCTTTTGTTCTTAACATTTTGTGTATTGGAACAATTGTGTTGGGAAGACTAACAACAGGTAAAAATGCACTTAAAATATTCCTGTTAACTAAGGCTGAAAACTTCAAGTCTTGGGCTGGTGGAGTGGCTCAAGAGGCAAAGCATTTGCCTAGCAAGTGTGAGACACTGAGTTCAAATCCCAGTACTGTCAATAAATAAATAAATTCTCAAGTCTTTCAGAAAGAAAATAAATATTTGAAGACAGGCTTAGCCTGGCACCAATGGCTCTCACCTGTAATCCTGAGATTAGGAGGATCATGGTTCAAGGCCAGCATGGGCAAGTAAGTTCAAGAGACTCCCATCTCCAAAATAACCAGAGCAAAATGGACTACAGCAGTAGAGTACCTGCTTTTGCAAGTGCCAAGTCCTGAGTTCAAACCCCAATCTCACCAAAAGAAAAAAAAAAAAAGGAAAATAGACTTAGCAGTGTCCAAATTCCTGAAAAAATTTAAGTGTATAGCTGGGCACTAGTGGCTCACGTCTATAATCCTAGCTACTCAGGAGGCAGAAAGCAGGAGGATCACAGTTCAAAGCCAGCAAGGTAAACAGTTTACAAGATCCTATCTCAAAAAACCCTATCACAAAAAATTGGGCTGGTGGAGTGGCTCAAAGTGAAGGCCCTTAGTTAAAGCCCCAGTACTGCAAAAAAAAAAAAAAAAAAAAAATTTAAGTGTATAGCCTCTTTCACGTTCTCTATGTAACTTTGGCCCCTTCTGCCATACTGCTGATTCTGACTATTTATTGTTATTATTTTTCAGACAGGGTTGCACCATATAGGCCAGGCTGACCTCAAACTTGTGACCTTCCTACCTCAGCCTTCTGAGAGCTGGGATTACAAACATGCACCAGTATTCCCAGCTTGCTTTGATTATTTTAGCCTATGTGTATTCTTAAGTTAAACCAGAGGGATAAAATAAGACGGGTGGGGAGAAACTATTTCAATATAGCAGGCATCCTAAAGTTCAAAAAATACTAAAATTTGAGTAGCCAAGCATGGTGGCATATGCCTGTATTCCCAGTGATTCCGGGCCAGCCTGGACTACATAGTGAAAAAAATTATTTTTTTAAATTTAAGTCTGATTACCTGTGGTACTCTAAAGTCCATTATATTAACCCTTTGAAATTATGTATGTAGTCAGCACTCTGTATCTATGGATAAAAATATTCGGGGAAAAAAATTTCATCTGTACTGAACATGTCCACATGTACAGAATTCTTTTTCTTGTCAGTCCAGATGCCCTCTAACCACTAGCAGTATCACATGAGTATTTAATAGCTGAAGAGCTGGGCACCAGTGGTTCACGCCTGCAATCCTATCTCCTTGGGAGGCTGATCAGGAGGATTTCACTTTGAGGTCAGCCGAAGCAAGTATTTCACAAGATTCCCATCTCCAAAATAACCAGCAAAATGAACTGAAGGTGTGGCTCCAGCCATAGAGCTACAGCTTTGCAAGCACAGAGCCCTGGGTTAAAACCAACGTCCCAAAAGAAAAAAAAAAAAATTTGAATAAAATGTTGTCAAGTTCTCCAGATACTCTAAAAATAACTCATCATCAAATGAGATAGCCAAGAAACTGAAAAGGCAAAAAAATGAGGTAGCCAAGAAACTATACTTGACATTTTATTGCCTTTACCTGGAATAACAGAAATTCCATTGTCTAATTCTGGATGCCAAATGTAAATATTTAAAAATGGGCTATAAATCCATAATTCTCCAGATGGAGCTAAATTCCAGCTAATTTTTTAGATCATTAATAGTGGAAGATTGAAGTATTATATCTAATAGCAGGAGAATGCTAATAAGTTTGCTTATAATAGTATAAGTTTTATATTACAGAAAAAGTGAAAGGAAATTCTTATTGAAGTCTTTGAGATCCACTCAGTTATTAGTTATTTAACAAATATTATGTGCCTACCAAGTATAAAACAGAATTCAAGAAGCTGTCATAAAGCAGTGTCCCCAAAAACTACTTTTTGTTCTTTCATTTTATTACTTTATGACTTTAGTTTTTTGAGATGGGGCGTCTCTCTTTGTGGCTTAGGCTAGCCTTGAACTTGCAATTTTCCTGCCTTAGTCTCCTTGGTTGTTTCATCCATAATCTTCCGTTAAGTTATAACCGTAAGGATTAGTTACAGATCTGTGTCATGATATTCTGTAGGAACTTTACGTCCAAACATTTTATATCACCTTTATATACTCCTAAATCTGAGCTTAAGAGTTGTGGACTACTCAGGAGGCAGAAACCAGGAGGATCGCAGTTTGAAGCCAGCCAGGGCAGACAGTTCAAATAGTTTGTGAGACCACATCTTGCAAATACCCAACACAAAAATGGGTTGGTAGTGTGGCTCAAGTGGTAAAGTACCTGCCTAGCCAACTGGGAAGCCCTGAATTCAAACCCCAGTCCCACACACACACAAAAAAAAACAGAATTGTGTAAATCCGGTGAGGTGGCATATGCCTATAAACCCAAAACTCACCACAGTTGTTCAACAATAGAACTCAGGCAAACCACAGTAGAAGTCAAGGATCTAAGACAAACTGGCTATTGAAATCGGGTACAGGGATACAAATGCTTGGATAGAATGGATAAAATATTGTGTCTGCACATTAAATAAGAGCGATTGTGATGTTTATACTACTAGGAGACCAGAGTCTCAGGTTGTCCCGTTTTCATTAGGATGGTCCTTGGACCCAGAAGGAATGTACTGCATGTTGGTTTGTTTCAGGATGCCAAGGTTTGGGGCAACAAATCCTGCCAGACACTATCACTACCAGAGGTCAGAGGTCCTGTGGGTCAGCCCCCAAAGACTGTTAGGCCATCTACTCTAGACATCAACTATACCTCATGTCTCACCAGACAAGGGGGACGAATGACAAATGTGGGAAATCTGACAGGATGCAGTGAAAGCCAGTCCTTCAACAGCCTCACAAACCAGTCCACACTCTTGGTGGGCAGAACCAATGTCTGGTGGTACTGCGGAGGACCTTTACTTGAGACTCTCCCAGGTAACCGGGCAGTCACCTGTGCTTTGGTGCAGTTGGCAATCCCTTTCATCCTAGCATTTTGTCCACAGCCCATGCCACATCTAGAAAAAGGAGAGACATAGACACTGTAGCCACCTGCAGAGGCTCCTTTGATCCCCATGTTTACATTGATACCATTGGAATTCCTAAGGGAGTGCCAACAATTCAAAGCCAGAAACCAAATTGCAGCAGGGTTTGAATCAGTACTCTTTTGGTGATCCACTACAAATAAAAATGTCAATTGGATTAATTATATTTATTATAACCAATAAAGGTTTGTTAACTATACCAGGGATGCTATCAAAGGAATAGGAGAGCAATTGGGACCAACTAGCCAGATGGGTTGGGAGAACAGACTAGCATCAGACATGATGTTGGCCGAAAAGGGAGCAATTTGTGTAATGATTATAGAGTTTCGTGTTGCACTTATATACGAAATAATACAGACCCTGATGGAACTATTACTAAGGATTAACTACCCTATCTAACGAGCTAGCTGAAAATTCAGGTATAAATGACCCCTTCACTGATTTAATGGAAAAATGGTTTGGAAGATGAAAGGCCTGGATGACCTCGATCTTAACCTCCTTGATCATAGTGACTGAAGTTTTAATTTTAGTAGGATGCTGCATAATTCCTTGTGTCCGAGGACAAATACAGCAGTTAAATGAGACAGCCCTCACCAAACAATCACCCACGCCATACTAAAATCACTTGTTTCTATTAGAAATGCAGGAACACTAGAGCCAACAGCTTCTAAATGAGTTTGAAGAAAAGAATTTAAATTAAAAAGAAGGGGAAAATTGAAAGAAAAATGATCTTTTCTATCAAAGTATTTGTTACTCTCTTACATTACTTAAAAATTCCTCAGGGTGCCATCTTAGGTGACTTGCATATTTAAAAGGTCCCTGTTTCCTCCTCTGGATTCCTTTTCAACTCCATTGTCCGCCAAGCTGTAACCCATCCCCCAAGCCTTTTAGCCAATCAAGAGGGATTGTGAACCTTTGACCTGGACAAATCCTGAGTTAGGGGCAGGTACAACTGCGTCAGAGGTAGGAGGAGCCATGCAGCCATTTTGTGCTTGCATGTTTGCCTAGCTAGAGTGAGCACATGCGTGCACCCTTTGATCAAAGTAAATTGCCTTGTCAAGATTTTCTGTTTCTGGTGTGTCTGTCTTTAGCACCAGAGACTATTAATTCCAACAACAGGAACAACTCTCTTATTCGGGGTGGTGGGGGGCAGAGAACCCACCCAGTAGATTTTACAAAACAAATTTCTTGTGGCACTGGTGTCTCACACCTATAATTCTAGTTACTAAGGAGGCAGAGATGAGGAGGATCAAGGTTTGAAGCCAGCCCCAGCAAGAGACCCTATTTTGGGAAAAAAAAAAAAAAAAAGGGCCAGTAGACAGGCTCAAGGTGTAGGCCCTGAATTCAAGCCCCAACAGCACAAAAAAAAAAATCTTGAGTTTTACTGAAACATATTCTAAAGTTGAATACTAGGGTTAGAAAGCTGTGGTCACAGAAGTCAGCAGGTCTCTTGTCAATGTATTATCTTTGCAGTCTTACCAGTTTCTGGCTGACAGAATGTGTACTGGCTGCTGGAGGAAGAGCCCATATTAAAGCCATCTGAGCTGTGTGCTTCTTTAACAAGAACAACTTCTTGACTTCCAATTTCTTCTAACTTAGGTGGCTCAAGGGTAACAATATCAGAATCATCACTAGCAGTTCCAAAATAGACATTGTCTTCAGGTGATTTTGCTTCCTTTGCCTGAATGAGTCATAATTTTACAGACATTAAATTCAATAATTATATAAGAGTATACTTTCTGCACAGTTCAAAATGCATGGTACCAAGTACTATGGTATCTGAAATAAAATATACTACGGTAATCTAAAATAAAAGATACAATTTTGGACTGAAGGAATGGCTCAAGTTATACTGCACCTGCCTAACAAGCCTGAGGCCCAAAATTCAAGCCTCCGTACCACACACACAAAAAAAATTTCTCCCTACCCCCAGCCCTCTCTTTTCAGTGCTAGAGACCAAACCCAGGGCTACGTGCATGCTAGCAAGAGCTCTATCACTGTGCTACCTCCCAGTAGTAAAGGATTACGCAAAAGCAGGCTCATCTTTTCTTTTTAAGCGTGAAAACATCATCAAACCCCTTGACAACTTTCCCACAATTAGATGGGGCCACTGCTTTCTCTTACTGGACTGCGAAAGCTGAAAAGACCATTTCTGTTCCCCAGAGCTGGGGAGTGGCTCAAGTGGTAGACCTCTTGTCTAACAAGTGTGAGGCCCTGGATTCAAACCCCACTACCTCCAAAAAAAGAAAGTACAAACCATTTCTGTTCCCCAGTAACTACAGAAAAGAAAGAACTCATATTTTTCACCAGTTCCATGGGTTTATTTGAGCATAATTCTGCATTTAGGGAACCTGGAAAAGACTGATTTAACTTTTTTCTGGTTCAACAACTATGCCATGAACTATTGTCTGTATGTTGGAAATGAATCACCAATGGGATAATAGGGTAGGTGCCCTGTAGGTGATACATTCTAAGACCCATAATGGATGCTGGAAACCACGGATAATACCAAACCCTACATATACTATTTTCCCCTATATATACTAATACATACCTTTGATCAAGTTTAATTTATGAATTAAGCATGGTAAGAATTAACAACAATACTCAATAACAATATACAGTTCTAACAATGTACTGTAGTAAGTTATATGGATGTGGTATCTCTCTTGGAAGAGTCAAGACAACTACAGTTGACCACGGGTAACTAAAAAGGAGGAAAGCAACACCATGGATAGGGAGACGTCTGTATTAAGAGGTAAGACCTTTAGTTGATTAGGTCACGAGGGCTGTTCCCTCATGGCTACAATTAAGACCTTTATAAAACAGGCCTTTTCTTGCCTTCCTTTCCTTCTGCCATCTCAGAAAGTTGTTTGTCCCTTCTGGAAGATGTAGCACCAGGACACCATCTTGGAAGCAGAGAGTAGTTTTCATTTCACACCAAACTTGCTAGCACCTTCATCTTAGACTTTCCAACCTCTAGAACTATGAGAAATAAATTCTCATTCTTTATAAGCCACCCAGTCTCAAGTATTTTGTTATACCACCACAAATGGACTAAGATAAGACCACCTTGCTATATCTAGCTTTATTTAAAAGTCAGTAAAACTCAACAAAATAAGAAAAAAATTAAAATAAAATTTCCAAAGGAAAATATTCAGTTGGTTATCAAACTTAAAAATTAACCTTTATTTTAGAGATGAACTTAGTGTAATTTTCAATATAATTCAAGAATGAAACCTATTTCCAAAGAAAATTGTATTATAGGTTAAAAGAACAAACCCTCAATGAAATACTAATACATTATTTTTCTGAATCAGAAGACAGGACTAAGATGTAGCCCAGTGGTAGAAAGCATGCTTAGCCCTGGTTTGATCACCAATATCAACTAATCTTATGGTTTAATCTTAAAATGGATCAATTTTTCTGCTAAATTTGCTTATAATTCATATACAACTAGAATGTATAACTAGAAATAGAGGCTTCAAAGAGTGTTTTCTATAGTACTGTCATCTCTACAGCTGCAGAGTAAAGTATGGAAGTTTACCTCAATTGCTGACTTGGTTTCTTCCAAAGCTGGATAAGGAGTTTCTTCAACTGATAATATGCCATCTTGGCTGCTTTCTGATATAAAGCAAAGATCAGCAGAATTATTTCTTTCTTTAAAACACTCTGTTGACTTACAAAGTGTCAGGGTAAATAAAAATCTACTCCCAATATGCTATTCTTGCTAACAAATCTGAATTATCTGTAACTGTGAGAGAACAATTTATTGAATTGAACTCATTTAGGACTTATTAAGAGCTGAGATGAAAGCTAATTTGACCAGATAAAATCTCTGCTTTGCAATACTAAAATTATTTAACCAATGGTGTTTCTGAAAGCCTATTAATATGGAAAATCTATTCTTAGATACCTGGTAGCACATTTGCTAACTTCTTAAAAGATCACTCAACATTCCTAAAGAGCAAAAAATATTTGTTAGTGTGTGCTTGAAAATGTCAGCTTATCCATTACCCTGTGTGTTGTGTGCACTTCATTTAACTCTGCTGTACTGCATATATTGTGTACATGATGAACAAATAAATGCTAAATTTTATACCTATTCCCTAGACAGTAAAGAGGTTGACAATATAAAAAACAATTCCTAAATATCACTATTCAATTGGCTATCAATAGCTGGTACTTAAGAATCAAAGCTATGTCTTTAAATTTTGAATGATTCACCAGACTGGAGGTGTGGCTCAAATGGTAGAGCACCTACTTCGCAAGCTTGAGATCCTGAGTTCAAACCCCAGTCCGTTATTTATATACATATATATATATATATACACACATACACACAAAATGAAAGAATCACTATAAATAATAAGCTATTAAAGCGAGGACTGAAAAGAACATAAAAAATGATAACACTACAGAAGATAACTCTCCTAAAAAAAACAAAAAAAACCTACAAATGTAAAAGATTCAGTTCACCTTTTTTTTTTTTCGGCGGGGATGGGGGAGAAGGAGAGAGGGAAAGGTGACAGAGCCTCACTGTACAGCCCAGGCTGGTCTGGAATTCACGATCCTCCTGTCTCAGTCTCTTAAATACTGGGATGACAGGTGTGCAGCACTGCACCTGGCTTACAATACGTACTTTTTTTTCCTTTTTTTGTGGTACTGGGGAGTTTGAACTCAGGGCCTTACACTTCCTAGGCAGGTACTCTACCACTTGAGTCACTCCATGAGTCCTGTTTTTTGTGCTGGGTATTTTCAAAATAGGGTCTCCAAAACTATTTGCCCAGGGCTGGCTTCAAACCACCAAGATCCTCCTGATCTCCACTTCTGAGTAGTTAGGATTATAGGCATGAGCCACTGGTGCCTGGATCACAATATATTCTTAATGAAAAAGAGTATAAAGTAGAGCTGGGGAGGTAGCTCAGTGGTAGAGTACTTGCCTAGCATTTACAAGGCCCTGGGTTCAATTCCCAGCAAAGAGGAGAGCATGAAGTGTTAATATAAGCTAAAATATAAAAATATAACAAATATAAATTTATACAAGAACATACACTAATCATCAATAGCAATTATTTCCAGATAAAAGTATAACAGTAATTTTATATTTTCTTGGCTTATCTTTTTCCTATCATGAGCACAATTTTCTAAATGTAGTCTAACTTCCCCAAAGAATAAGAAAAACAAGCATTACTTTTGTGTTATACAGACCCACAAAACCTTTCGACAAAAATGGACTTGGGAACCCGGCATGGTGGTGCATGCCTGTAATCCCAATACTAGGGAGGCTGAGGCAGGAGGATCACCAAGTTTCAAGGCCAGTCTGGGCTACACAACGAGACCCTGCCTCAAAAAAAAAAAAAAAAATAAGAGAGAGAGAGAGAGAGAGAGAGAGAGAGATGTATTTGGGTCCAAGGATTACTATAATATGGAAGCCAAGGACTATAAGTACAGAATTTTTTTGACGTGTGACTAGATGCATTTTTTAAAAGAGGCTACTCATAGCTTTCAGACTCTCAAAGGAATCCGACCCACAAAAAATGAGAATCACTGCTCAAATGAGAATCACAATCAACATGCGAGGGTGGGACTGTAGTCCCAGATCTGGGAGGCTCAGGCAAGAACTTCATGAGTTCCTGAGTTCTAGGCCAGCCTGGGCTGAATGAGGAAACCCTGCCTCAAAATAGAAAAAAGAAAAGAAGCAACAAGTACAATCTCATCTATTTCTGATCTAGACACATCTATTTTATTCACCTGAAGTGAAAATGTTCCATTTACTTTGAGTCTTAATGCAATTTTCTAAAGTTTAGTAAGTAATTGAAATACAAAGATGAGCTCATATAGATAGTAATTATTTGGGAATCGTGTTTTCTATATACATAGTGTGGGCTTCAAATCCACAGGAAGTATGCACCACACAGATGTAGAAAAGAGATGGTGAAGTACCACCTTACCATACTCTAACTCTAACCTTCTACAGCATATTCACTGCAGAAGTGCCTAGCGACTTGCATGAGTTGTACTTTTATACATTACTGACCATAACATTAATAATGGCAAGTAATTATAAAGTGCCACACTTTACATTTATTGCATCTCAAACCATGTAAGGCTGTATAGTCACCAGTTACATCTGTAGTATCAAAGAGTATCTATCTAGAGGCCAAAACGTAGTACAGCTGCAAATAAGTCCCTGAGGCAGATTAGAAGCACTGGGTTCTGCAAGCCTTCAAAGTTTCACCTAGTCCACACTCAAGTTTAGTTCTTCATGACCTGATCACTACGATGAGCCAGAAAGGCTAACCAGAGAACACCACCAAGACTCACAATGTCACGCTCATATCCTACTTTTACAGTAGTGAGAATTTAACAACTTACCTCCCTGCTCTATCTGCAGTACGTGTAATTCCTCTTGCCCTAAAGATGAGTATTCTGGGGTGAGCTCACGGCTGTCACTGGCTGTGACAGAATTCACCATCTCTACATCAGATCCCTAGAGAAAAAGGAAAATCATTCAGTTGCCTATTTTCACTCAAAGCTGGATTTGATTACATGCAGACGGTTTCATTATTCAAAATCCCAAACACTGCCATACCCAAAGGGAACACATCTGTTCCAACTAGCTTTGTTGAACTCAGTCCATAAAAGACTTGAACAGGGAAACTCCAGAACAGACTCACAAGGTTTAAGTCTATGGCAAATGAGCCCAAAAGTAGAATGCTTACGCTATTTTATGAGCCCAAGCAATATATCTGAATCTCATAAAAATCATTTTCAATCTCAGGAGTATCTATACTTACCTATTTTTATTAATTAACTTCTATTTAACATTTATGGAAATACACTAGACAAGGCACTTTGCTAGGTGTTGTGTGGCATAAAAGATTCAAATTCAAAACTGAAATTCGCAACTTACTCAAAGAAACAGCCACATGCAAATAACTACTGCTTATGGCAATGTAAATCCAAGTAGGTGAGATTACAGGCCCACTCCATACACCTATCTAGACTATTTTTTATTCTGAAGTTATCTTTTCTAGTTTGATGTCAGACTGTCTTTAATTAATAAAACAGAGAACTCTGAGTTTTTTTCCCTCATGTCTAATAAGTTAAACAAAGTTAACCGTAAGTTGATTCTGGTTCACCTACATAGCACCAAGGCATATTTTTCTACCAATTCATAAATCTGAAAGGGTTAAGTTCTCCTGAAATATTGCATAACTCAATACAGCAAAAATTCAAAGAACAGCCTTCAAGTTGAGTCCAAAAGAGAGTTCTAAATGTAAGACTTCAAAAGGTTGCCTATAGTGGCAGGAAAATGGTAGAGGCAAAGGCAATGTCAGAATTGGCTTGAGGATTACTGGGGAGACCAGCTCTGGACTAAAGCAGAACAATGACAATGGAAAGGAAAAATAAACACATTTAAGAGACAGCAAAAAAGAGTAGAACTTGGTAAATAGATACAGAAGAGAAATGAAAGCATAAACATGAAACCCAGGCATAGTGGTGCACGCCTATAATCCCAGCACTCAAGAAGCTGCAGCAGGATGATCTAAGAGTTGAGAGATCAGCCTGGACTAACTAGCAAGACCCTGTCTCAAGTCCCAACCTTCCCAAAAATGTACAGACATAATTTACTGTGAAATGATGTCTGACTCAAGTGGCTAAGTGCCAGACAGGTTTGCTGTTTTGTTCTACCCTACAGACTCACAACTAAGATTCCTACTGCTGCCTTGCTCCTTTACTGTTAATTGTCCTTGAAGGACAGATGTTGCTTGTAAAAGCTGATCTAACCTATGTATAAACAGGTTAAAAATAGAAAAGTCACATGATTTTTTAAAAGGGCAGGCAGGGTGGCTCAAACCTGTAAACCTTGCTACTTGGGAGGAAGTCATCAGGAGAACTGCAGTTTGAGAGCAACCCCAGCAAAAAAATTTCACAAGACCCTATCTCAACCAATGACAGGGCACCATGGCACCTAACTACACAGGGAAGCATAAATAGGAGGATTGAGGTCCAGGGCTACCTGGGCATAAAACAAGACTTTATCTCAAAAGTAACCAATGCAAAAAAGGCTGGAGGTATGGCTCAAGGAGTAGAGAGCCTGCTTAGCAAGTGTGAAGCCCTGAGTTCAACCCCCAATACCACAAAAGTAAAAAAAAATAAAAGAGGGTCAGACAAACTACTGTAATACCAGCACTTGGGTTCAAAGCTAGCCTGGGCTAAAAACATAACTCTGTCTCAAAAAAAAAAGGATTACCTCAATCCATACTAGTACAGTTACAATTAACTTTTCAAACTGTAAAACAGAAAAAGCAATCTTTCTTTGTTAATGTTGTTTCGTAGAAGAAATGATCAATAAATTTGTCTAAGCCTGAATTACCAAAATAATTCCTTGAAAATATGATTACTTTTTTTATTAATGAAAGAAAACAAGTGAGTCTTTCAAAATCCTAAAAACAAATGGAGGAGATATCTTACTGCCATTTTGAACTGTGTGGTGAGCAGCAAATGTCGCTCCCTTTCCCTCATTTATCCCTACTTTATCCTGCTATACTAAAATAAATCCTAGCTAAAACTTACAAAAAGCAAAAAAGATCAAATGGAAAAACTATATATAAATCTATCAGAACTTTGAACAGTAAGCTGATTTTGATTTTGCTGTTTCTGTTCATCAATATCCTCATTTTTTTTTCTATAGTGAGAAAAAAATCGGTATGAGAAAATAATCTATTTATTATGTTCTACTTACATACAGTCATTGCATGTGTATCATTTTCTACTATAAAACTTGTTTTGTGATAGAGTTCTAGCCATAGTTCTTTTCCTATCAAGTTTTCCATTTTGTTTCTGGTCTGTTCAAAACCAGGCTTGGTATTTCTAATTACATAATCAGTAAAATTATTTAACTTTTCTAAGTTTTAGTTTTCTCAACTATAAAATGAGAATGAAGGCCAAGCATGGTGGTAGATACCTGAATTCCCAGCACTCAGGAGACTGAGGCAGGAGGATTACAAACTGGAGACCAGCCAGGCCTACACAGTGAGACTCTTCTACCATATCACCCCCCAAAAAAAACAGAGAATGAAAATAATCTATACCACAGTGGATTTTTAAACATTACATGAGAATGTAGATAGAGCAAAGGTCTAATCAGTAATAAACTTTAATAAATACTTCCCTAAAGTCTCAAAGCTAAGGAAAGCTATATGCAGTAACGTAAAAGGTTCTGACCCAGGAAGAGTTTTAGCAGTGAAGTTTAATATGTATGGGAAAATGTGCAAGCTACAATGAACATCTGGCTTAAATATAAAATGCTGGTCTACAAATAACTGTTTACATGATTGCTAACACTGAGATTACAAACAGCCTCCATAAAAAGTAGTAAATAGCATACCTCATGATTGATGACAGTCCAACCACAAGATGAATCACTGTCACTGGAATTTTCAGACATTTTTCAGGTCTACAAATACAAGAACATATTGACTTGTGGGACACATTTTGTTTTTTTAACATTCTATAGGAGTTCTATATGTGACACAAGTATGAAAAGTGGCTTACTGACCTCCAGATGAAAGGGACACAATCCATCCATACACAGATTTACCATATAGGACATGATATGACTGTATACCTACTGAACAATTACAAACTTCTTAAGACAAGGAGATGTCCCTGAGCTACAATATGGAAAATCATGTTGTTGGAATGAGGAAGACAGTTGAGTCTAGAAGCAAATACAGGGTTTGAGCTGGCAGAATTGAAGAGGAAAGAGAACCCAGTGTTATCACAATGGTGAATGGGGAACAAATAGAAACAGTAAAGTCCTATATTTTCAATGAACAGTGAGGTTTAAAAAGGCTGAAGAAAAGAAGAAACCAAGAGAGAATGGAAGTGCTCCCATTCCAAGCAAAATGAAGTCTATGTGTTAACAAGCTAAATTTTTCAAGCAGAGAATAAGCACAACCAAATCAGTTTTTTATTAAAATAACTGTCAGCAATGCTTCAGCTGGATTTTATAAAGCAGGGGAAAAGGGAAAAATATCAGGGATTGGTTCAAACTTGTCGTCAATGGCGATAACCTAGATTCAAGTCCTAAACCAGCATATATGGGTCACTCTGACCACTTTCTTCTCCCTTTTCCATCCTAAACTCCTTTAAGCGTAAATATCCATCTCAAAAAGTGAATGGTATTCTAACATGTTCTGCACACCTAAATCATATGTTTCTTTACTGCACATACACCACAAACATGTTAGAGCCAACTTGATGGCTGCTGTTTTAGCAGAACTCTTAGTACAGACAACATGGAACAAGTGCTCAAATGAGATCAGGGCAAAAATATACATCTGAACCATGTATTCTGAAAAATACATGGATTTATTATATAAATATATAATATATAATATATAATTATATATATCTGAACCATGTATTTTGTAAATTAATAATTAACATTTCAAACAGAAAATACACCAGCATGGTGTTGCATGCCTGTAATTCCAGCACTCAGGAGGCAGAGGCAGGAAGATCCAGTTCCAGGTCAGCCAAAGCCATATGTGAGACCCTGACTCAAAAAGTCAAAGAGACAGTCAGAGAGACAGAAGAGAGAGAAACTACAAAGAGGATGGCCCTTACCTGTAGAAAAATTAGCGTGAGGTTGCAAACCAGACAGCATTTTTAAAAAAATGAATAAACAGGTACAAAAAATCAGAAGTAGAGATATTACATAAACCAGTAATGGGTATGTAAGACATAAACTAGATGTCTAGTTCCCCATTAAGGAAAAAAAAAAAAATCAGATTTGATGATGCTGGAAGGATTTCCCAAGTGAGAAAGAGAAAACAAATGCTAAGAACAAAGGCAAAAAAAATGTTAAGACTATAAAAATTTTTAAAGAGGCAATTAATCTAACATGAATGGAACAATAAAATATTAAATTTGAATTTTTTAAAATGTCATATTTTATGTGGTATCTATACACAATGGAATTTTATGCAGCCATGAAGAAGAACGAAATGTTATCATTCGCTGGTAAATGGATGGAATTGGAGAACATCATTCTGAGTGAGGTTAGCCTGGCCCAAAAAGACCAAATAATTTATGTTCTCCTCATATGCGTGACAATTTAAATATTCAAGGGCAAACACAACAAGGGGATTGAACTTTGATCACAAGATTAAAAGCGAATGCACACTAGGGAGATTATGAGTGAAGGTAAGACATCTAAAAAATTAGCTAGCATTTGTTGCCCTTAACGCAGAGAAACTAAAGCAGATACCTTAAAAGCAACTGAGGCCAATAGGAGAAGGGGACCAGGAACTAGAGAAAAGGTTAGCTCGAGTAGAATTAATTTAGAAGGTAAAACACATGCACAGGAAATGAATGTGAGTCAACTCCCTGTATAGCTATCCTTATCTCAACCAGCAAAAACCCTTGGTCCTTCCTATTATGGCTTATACTCTCTCTACAACAAAATTAGAAATAAGGGCAAAAGTTGTTCTGCCGGGTAGTGAGGGGGTGGTGGGGGGAGAAGGAGGGGGCAGGGTTGGTGGTAAGGGAGGGGGTGGGGGCAGGGGAGAGAAATGACCCAAGCATTGTATGCACATATGAATAATAAAAAAATTAAAATTTAAAAAAAAAAGTCCTATTTTAGCCAGGCATGGTTTGGGGCCAGCTTGATTTAAGAAATAAAGAGTGAATTTTGCTAACATATATTATAAGCACTTTTATAAATGTCACAATGTACTCCCAGTACAACAATATAATAAAAAAATTAAATTAAAAAAAAAAGAATAAATAAAAGCATAGTTTAAGGTGGGAAACAAAAGCTGGGGCATGGCTCAAATGATACAGCAAGGCCCTAAGTTCAAAACCCCATAGCACAAAGCAAAAAAGGAAGGGAAGGTTTCATAGATTTGAGAAGACAAGGAAAAAACAAAAAACATTTTTTATATGACTGAATAACCAACCACAGAAAGGAGAAAGTACAAGAGTTTCTGGCGTAAGTGACCAGCTAACTGGAGAAAACATCCAATATGAAGCAAGTACATGGTGCTTTGGATCAAGAAAACTGGCCAAAGCCTAAGAAACACTCATCACCATGCGAAAGCTTCCCTCCTTCCCTCTGCCGGCCCGCAGTTAGCAGCCCACATTTTCACTGCTGCTCAGTCTAGCCTTCTGAGGCTTACTTGTGCTTTGTTTTTTTTCTTTTTTGGAGGTACTGGGGTTTGAACTCAGGGTCTCACACTTGCTAGGCAGGTGCTCTACTACTTGAGCCTCTTCCCAGTCCTTTGTTTTCTTAATAATCTTCCAAAGCTTCCAGGTAACTGACCGAGATACTTGAAATGTATGTTCTCCTACGCCCTGGGTGACTAGGTAATTTTCATTTAAACAGTTCTTGTGAACACATAATCCCTAGCCCTTTTTTCTTTCCTTGGCAATGCTGGGAGCTAACCCAAGCACTGAACTGAGCTATATCCCCAGCCCTAGCTTTCAATTTCTAATAAAACACACTCTAATATAGCTCTGAGGATGAAATGAACACTTTAGGACATTTCAAAAGAAAGTACTATACACTACTAAACTGGGACAACTTATCAAACCTGAATTCTCAAATCAATGAGCCCACTTTAATCAGGACCCAATTTAATTCTGTTTACTTCCTTGGGAGGAAAGGGCAGGTTTGTCCTAATCAATCCAAATAAGAAAAAGCAAAATTCTCCCCTGGCCATATACCATTGTGGCAGTTTGGGTAAGTGCACAGGCCTACTAAAAACCCCCCAATTTAATTCAGCTGTTCTCAAAAGCTAAGTATAAAGAAAAGAAAAGCAGAAAGAAGTTAAGAAAAAGTAGAGAAACAAAAAAGAAAGGCAGAGTGCACTATAATTAAAGCTTTAAAAAAAAAAAATCCTAGCCTTAGGATAACTGAATTTCAGATAACTAAAAACTAAAACTTCACCTTGACTCCATCTCACCTTACTCCTTACCCATCCCCTCTTCTAAACCCTAAAATGACTTCATCACTGCCAACTTCATTTGTGGTAACAACTCCCAAACAGCTCCTCTACTCTACCCTCCAGTTTCAACTCCCTTTTGGTCAACTTTACAATGTTACCATACTAAGCCTATTCCCTTACTGAGTCCTGTAAATCACTCAATCACTTAAAATTGGTATCCAGTGCCTTCCATACAAAATTCAAACTCTTAGCCTGCTATCCTAGCTACTCAGGAGGTAGAAATCAGGAGGATCTCAGTTCAAAACCACCCTGGGCAAGCAGTTCACAACACCCTAACTCAAAAATAACCAACACAAAAAAGGGCTGGCAGTGGAGTGGCTCAATGGTAGAGCACATGCCTAGCAAGCTTGAGGCCCTGAGTCTAGACCCTAGTACCATACACACACACACACAAAGAAATCCCTAAGAGTCTCATCTCATTTATGAAGCTAATTTTGATAGAAAAAATAATTCTATACTAGTACAATCATACATTCTCCAGCAAAAAAGAAGCTTAAGGCTTATACTGTCTTAAATCCATTCATTTACCCAATCTAAATTCATTAAAAAATACACCAATGTAGCAGGGGCAGGGAGTCTTGTCCACTTGGAGCTTGAATCCTACTGGGAGTTGACTCTTATTTCACTGAATCTGAACCCTATGCTCCAGGACAGCAAGAAAAGGGAAGAAACTGTCTCAACCTCTGCTGTGTTCTGACAAATGGAAATGAACCACCCTGCCCTCACAAACTCCCAGGAAAGACAGATCTCCCTTCCTAAAAATGACTTTCAGCAGCTATGTGCACACCTGTAATCTCAGTACTGAGGAGGCTGAGGCAGGATGATTGTGAGTTCAAGACCAGACTGGGCCACAAAACAAGACTCTCTTCTCAAAAAAAGAAAAGAGAAAAGAAAACAAAAATTCTCCCATACTATGTGCTTCTATAAATTCCATTGATTTTCTCCCTCTTTGAGATGTTCCTCACTGATGAACTTTCTTCCTGCTGCAGTAGCCTTAAAAAGAAATTGTCCTGTGCATTTCATCTTTCATACTGGAGATATTCAGTCACCAATATAAACAGATAAAACACAATATAGAGCATATTTGTTGAAAACATGCTATGATGAAAACATGGGAAAAGGAAACAGAAAATGCTGATAGAAAAGCTTCACTGAAAAGGTATACTGTATATGAGCAAAGACCTGAATGGGTGAGGAGGCCATTATGCAGTAGCTGGCAGGAGAGCATTAAGATCAAATGAACAGCAGGTACAAGTCTAAGATGAAGCCTGTGCCTCAGAAAAAACAAGGAGGTCTATGTAGGTAGAGCAGTGTGACCTAGCAGGAGTAGGAAGAAATAAGACAGGGAAAAAATAGGATAAAGTCAAGGTGGAGGACTATATAGCACCTTACAGGTATAGTACCGGTATAGGATCTAAGACTGGGTTTTTACTGAGTGAAACTA